GGAAAGAGTAAGTGGGAGAGAGAGGAAAGGGGAGAAACGTTCCGGATCGTAGAAATCGGAAAAATAAAAGGCAAGCACGTTATCATCGAAGCGACCGCCTAAAGCGGTAAAGAGTGGTGAAGCAAGGGGCAGGCTAGTACGCGTTTGATGACAGGCACAATACCCTGAGACCTCGTTACTTCGCATTCCACAAATAACGCAACAAAGATCCACACAGTTCTGGATCGACGATTAACCGACGATATTCTCGAAGTTGCTTCGAACAGACAGCTGTTTCTGTTTCTCGGTCGATGCGCCAGGTGCGTCGGCGACAGGGCCCGTGGAAACTCCCGTGTATTCAAGTAGAACTCAAATTGCCGCGCCATCTGATGTTCAACGCTACCATTAATTTGACACAGCGGTTCATACAAAATTCTAACTTGGGTCCATTACGGTTTATCTTGGAATAAAAACGATATGTTGCGTCCTTGCAGGTGGTTAGGCTTGTATTTTATAATGACAGTCAACTACTTGTACATTGCTAATAATGTATTACACAAAAAATATATATATATACATATACATATTTATATGTATATAAATAAACATATATATATATATATATGCACTATAAATATTTATATGCATGGAAGTATATATTTATATATCCATATATGTATAGGATTGTGTATAAATATATGTGTCACGTGATGGGTGTGTGTGTGTGTGTGTGTGTGAAAATGTGTGGGGGCGTATGTGCGTATATGTACACACGACTGATTTTTAATATATTCTAATTCATACGACGTTCATTCTCTTACAGATAACTATCAAACATAGATCTTTAATTTTTTATACCTCGTTTTTTATAGCTTCAGTTCCAACTTTCTCCTAAAGAATTTTGACCTAGAACACAAATACTCAGTTCGAACTGTTTCATGATGTACTATATATTTTGTATCGATATACTTTTTCTACGTAATTGTACATAAATTTGTCGATTAAAATTCGATAAATCGATAATCAGTGTTACAATAATTTCCAATTAAATTTAGATCGATAATCCAGCATCGATAATCGAATTTGAAATTGCGTAATATCTGAAATATCATCAATCAGGATTTGCGTGTTTGCAATAATTAAACTACTTTCGGTTATAAAAATGACCGATTATATCTCATTAATCGAATCGAAGTACAAAACAGAGGGATTGGTTCATCTCGGAATCTTAACATTTTTTAGCTTTTCTGGAAATGGAAGAAAAGGTACAGAAAGTGAAATGGCGATAGATTATGGGAAAGAGAGGGAGCGGTTGAGTAAAAATGGTAGAGCGTACTAACGCTCGCAATTCGAGTATTCCCTCTAGGTAAACGTGTGCACCGAGACGAAGGGTGGTAGGAGTACGGGCCTGGAGTCGGCAATATGGCTGGCCAGATGTGCATAGGTAGGGTGTCGGGGTGGTGTTAGTGCTGTACGTTATTTATGTCGAACTACCGCAAATCCTGCCCGGATTTCGTGTGTTTTCATGGAATCGGTGATATACTGTGCAGAAGCAGGAATACGGCTTGCATGAAGGCATAGCATACGCTTCCGAGTCAAACAAACATGAAGTAAGTTCCACGTATACGATACAGCATCGAGTGAGAGAGAGGGTCGAGTCGCATAAAATCCAGTCGAGTTCAGTATATGGGATCGAGCACGACTTCTTTTTGTCTTCGACCATTGTTTATGCCGCAGGCTACCGATAGATACCTTTATTATTTCAGTATTCCTTATTACTGTCGGACGCTGATATTCCCGTTGTCCATCAATACGATGCAATGCTCTTTCGGTGTTTAAATTTCTCGAAAGGATGTACTAGGAATCGTCCAGGGTAGGGCGTTGCGATGATTTTTTATCGAATATTTCCAAACGTGACAGTTCTTTTATCCTTTCTGACTACATACCATACCGTTCGAGCATTCCTTTCACGCATCCGTTGATGCAGTTTTAGTCTTGCTTGCCGGAAAGTATCTCTAATATGCTTTCAAATCTTGCGTTTCGACGCCTTTGTGTACCGTAAACGCAAACGGAACTTCTTTCTACCTTTGCTCATACCCTATCCTTTTTACGTCAAGGCAAAACGCTTGGATACACACATTTCCGAATTACTTTTATCTAAACTGCATTCGTATGCGTGTGTATACGCACATGAAATAGAAGAACGGTGTTGTACGAAAATTTCACTATACATATTTGTTTATGTTAGATGAGATATCTCTTACACGCACGCGCATATTTTACAGTTTCTCCCGCGGACAAAAATCCTTCCTACATTTTTTCGACTTTTGCGACATTTTTGTGAATTTTATACAAAATCCTGTCAAAGTAAATACCAATGGAAAATAGCATGGTGTATTACAGTCACTCTTGACACTAATTCATTCAATTCGATGCAGGTTTAACAGCTTCATCGGAAAAGATATCAATGAATTTATTTGATAACATATTTACCCTGAAGTGAGTCACATTATGATTCATATCGCGTTCGAAGTGATTCGATCTTGATTAAGCTTCAATATCCAACGGCGTATTTATCGGTGCAACACTGATTTTTGATTTTAATTAAACTTCGTAAACTCGAAGCATCTGCTGTTTTAAGAGAGAGACGGAGAGAGTGGGGAGGAAAGAAAAAGCGAGAAATAGGGTGAGAGAAAGAAAGAGAGAGGAAGATAGGGAGAGAGAGAGTTAAGGGCAAGAAGAAAGGGAATCGTTTTAAAAGGGTTATACCGTAACATGATCGTGACAGGCTTGTGACGCGAACCTCTGTTCTACCACTTGCACACAAATAACGCGAAAGAATAACTCGCCTACGGTATTACGAAAATTTCTCTGGAATGAGTTGCGTTTGTCGAGAATTTTCAAAATTACACATCAAATGGACATAATCGTATGCAACAAATTGCCAATTATTTATCGGCTTGTGTTTGGAAATAAACACAGCATAGAAAGAACACGGAAATGACTCGAAAGCCATGCGTATCGCGGATATTATTCTGGTTCTTATCGTGAAACCACCGGCTTGTCTGATCGTACGCTAAGTAAAGAAGGAAGTGGCAGTATCTTTTAGTATTCCGTTTCGTTCTGTTCTCATTTCGCCAGCGGCTCGTGCTGTTTTAACGTGGTCCGCGCACGGTGAAAGTGACATCAAACGCGATATTTTACACGCGAAATCTCGGAATTACTTTTTACCGATAATCTCGCGATTAAAAAATTTGCAGCGATTGCCCGTGATTCCGGTGAACCAGGATAGGATGAGACGATATTCGTATGTTCGACAACCGCAACAAATCCTTCCGGAAGAATATCGATCGTGGTAGCATTTCTTATATTTTGATCATTTCGTGGAAATAAAGGCGCGATTATATGGAAATATGGCAAGCTTTAGATATATCAGGAAGAAATGTATGGTTCTCCTTGTGTTTCAGCGAAGTGAGCATATCGTCCGCTCGTGCGTCGGTAATGGTATATGACGACATTAATAAAAAATGGATACCGAGTGGCAGTTCCTCAGGACTCTCCAAAGTTCAGTTATATCATCACCAAGTGAACAATACTTTTCGCGTAGTGGGAAGAAAGTTGCAGGATCACGAGATCGTCATCAACTGTGCGATCCTCAAGGGACTGAAGTACAATCAAGCAACACTCACGTTTCACCAATGGCGAGATAACAAGCAAGTATACGGTCTGAATTTCTCCAGTAAGGACGACGCCGACGCATTTGCCAGAGCGATGCTGCAAGCGCTCGATGTGAGTTTAAACCGATAACAACAGCAAACAACGTGGAAAAGAAGTGTCAGCTAACGCGTACTATAAGCCGTTGCGCTTCTACTACAGCTATAGATAAATATCCGTCTGGATGTATTTTATTTAATAACCATTTGATATACGTAGGTGTTGAGCAATGGAAGCAACATATCGAGAAGTCTTGCACCTGCCTCTGCTACTCAGCAGCAATCCGTCTTTCAACAACAGCAACCGGCTAACGCTCAATATGACGAAGATATGGGGTACAGGTTCGTTCTGTTTGTACTTCGAGTACTTCGGTTCTCCGTTTCGGTTCTTCCGAAATGGCAGTAAAGCTGATATTAGGAAAATATAAAACATTTAAATATATTTGTTATACAGGACCATGACTAGAGAAGATGTGGCGATCATTCAGGAACGTAGAATGTCCCAACAAAGTCAAGGTACGAGATGCGACGATCGGACGTATCTGCAAAATCGGAGAACGCTTTTCAATTTATGCTCTATTTATAGCAACAAACAGTCCGAACGCAATTTCCCCGAGTTGCCCACTTGCATCGCAGCAGCAGCAACAACCAGCGTCGCAACAGCAGCAACAGCAACAACAACAACAACAACAGCAGCAGCAGCAGCAGCAACAACAACCACCTCAGCAATCAGTGCCACCGCAACCACAACCGCCAGTGCCGCCACAGCCTCCGCAACAGCAACAGCAACAGCATCAAGTACAGCAGCAGCAGCAGCAGCAGCAGCAGCAGCAGTCACAACCTTTGCAGCAGCAACCGCAGTCCGGACATCACAGAACTTCGTCGGCACCACCTGCTCCGCAACCTCAGCAACAAACTGTGATGCAGTCGATGCAAGTCACTGGTGGTATGGGAACTAGTGCGGGACAAATGTCGACCGGAGGTGCACCTCCGGTACCACCTCCTCAGCCTCCTATGGCGACAGCAGCTCCACCGTGTCCACCAACTATGATAAACTTTAATGCACCGATACCACCGCCACCTATGATGTTGAACCAGTACGCGCAATCCCCGTCAGCTCAGTCGAATCTAGCTAATCAGTCTCAAGTACAGTCGATTTATGGTAGCAGTCAAGGAAATCAGTATGGAGCCACGTCAAACAGTAATCAGTATGCGACTACCACCGTTGTTGGACAAAATCCGTGTCAGTATTCCTCCGGAAATCAGAATAATTTCTACGGTAACAATGGGCAAGTTAGTAACGCGTATCCTAGTGGGCAACCAGGACAAGCGAATCAGTATGGCGGCGGTGGTGGTAATAGTACTGCTGGTAGTACTGGTGGAAGTCAATATGGAAGTAGTAATTCGATCGGGCAGTACGCCAGTAGTGGAGCTGCGACGACTGCCCAGTATGGAGTAGGTGTCGGAGTCAGCGTCGGTGTCGGCCAACCAAATCAGTCACAATACAGTGTCGTGTCCCAGGCACAGGCACAATATGGCAACAGCCAAATACAAGCAGTTGCGAGCGCTACGAATCCTTACGGAACACCATCAAACGCGGTGAATCAGTATAACAGCACTGGTGGCGGCGGTGGTGGTGGCGGCGGCGGCGGCGGTGGCGGCGGCGGCGGCGGCGGTGGTAGCGGTGGTACTTGCGGGAGTGGTGCTGTCAGTGTTAGTAGCGGCCCTGGCACTGGACATCACGTTCCACCAGTTAATCCTAATATTTACGCTCCCATTGGCAATGCCGCTACTCAACCACCTCCTATGGTACCGCTGACCGGACCTGCCGCTCCACCACCACCTCCTCCGCCACCTGCTCCAAAAGTCAACACTGTCAACACTGTCAACACTGTCAACACTGTCAACACTGTGAACCCTGTCAACCCTGTCAACCCTGTCAACCTGAATCCACTTTCTGGATCAGGTTCCACTGGATCGGTGAGTTCTGCCACCAATAGCGAACCTTCGCCAGATTCTAATTCGTTAGCTGCTGCGATTCAAGCAACACGCCTTAAAAAGAAACAGGTTCGTACTGCTGGTCTTGAATCTTTTTTGATTTCCGCTTTTCTAAACTTGTTCTTATGCCTTTCTCGTCTCACACTTTTCACTCTCTTATAGTCATCGCAACAACCGGTAGAGAACAGTGGTTCTAGTACTAGTAGCAGCGGAAGCGCCGGAAGTAGTGGAAATTATGGTACTCTAGGAAGGGGCGGAGGTGGCGGTATGGCTTCAATGATGGACGAGATGGCTAAAACCTTGGCTCGTCGACGAGCTGCTGTCGAAAAGAAACAACCCGAGCAACCACAGGTACGTTCATTTCGATCTTATCGTTCTGCCTGTATTCCTATTCTTCGCGATTTCTCTTCAACTTGTCATCTTTCTTTTTTTCTCTTTTTTTTTTTTTTTTTTTTTTTTTTTTTTTTTTTTTTTTTTTTTTTTTTTCCTTTCGTGTTCTCGTAGGAACCCGAAAGTTCACCCGACAAGAAATCATGGGACAAAAATAGTTCATCGAACAATAAATTTTCGAACGGTGCCGAGTCACCAAAATCGGTTCGCAAGAGGTTTGGTTCTGCTTCCGAAGACACACTCTTGAAGGTGAACGGCGTAAATGACGGAGCTGTGCTTACTGTCCAAGAAATGGAAGCATTTAAAGCAGAAATCATCAAGGAAGTGCGTAAAGAATTCCAAAAGATGAAACAGGAAATTGTAGATGGTAAGAAGAATTAAATCGAGGATAATGTATCTGATGTTATGTTTGTTACATTTGATATCATGTTTTCAGCTGTCAGAACGGAACTGAGTAGAAGATAAAGATGAGATGCGGACCAGTTTGAATGGAATCGAAGAGAAAAAGATTTCTGCTGTGTAGGTCAACCGAAACGATCATCGATAAACGTACACGACTTTTTTTTACTACGTATTCGCGAAAATGGAATGCAGTTATACCCCATGTATATCAGACATGTTTGTGTGTAAGTACGTTATATCTAATCTAGTGTTCTAAGTGAACCGTACCCTTTCGTTGCTTACTAGTCGAATGGTAAGCAACGCGAACTTTGGATAAAATCGATTCTGATTCTGCCAATTCGTTACACTACACATCAAGGATATATTAATCTTCGGTGGTATCGTACAGTTTCTTTTTAATTAACGACGATTGCCGTGCTCCTTGTCCTGACAAGTATTATTCGTAGTTAAATCGAGCAACCTAACACATGACGTAATATAACGCTGATCCCACGCACAATGGAAAACGCTTGCGTTTCTATGTAAATAACACGGAATTCAATTCAGCGAGAGATACGTAAAAATTTATTAAGAGATTCCTCTAGTCTAAGACAGATTTAAACTGGGACTAAAGAAACGTGCATTTATTTTTTTCGCGATTGTGATACGACTTTATTTTTTCGAGCATTAGCCTCCAGTTCATTTCTTAGAATGCACTCCACCACGTTCGTAACATCGAATCTCATTTGAATTTCTTTCGTACATACCACCACTTCCATGTACAGATTTCATTACTACGCACAGTTCGACACATTCCAAGTCAAAATGTTTCGGTACCGGAAAACAGATAGAACAGAACAAAGCGATCATGGATCGACTGCCACACGATTATTCTCGATTAAACGAGTTCTCGAACGTATCGAGGAATTCGTTTCACGAACTCGCTCAAGTACGAAGATACACACCCACTAATCCAAGTGTTAACGAATAACATCGATTTTATATTTACGCATTATCGATCGCTAGAAATTCAAAATTCGATGCATGACAGGGCGATCGTGTTTGCTACCGATAATGTATACTACTCTCCGTTCTTATATTTTTTTATCGTCTCTCGTACGATTCTCACAAAAATGAGAAGATTAACGTTGCAGTTCATATATATTCTATGTATCTATAATATAGCCGTATATACGCTGATTCGCACCAGCTTATTGGCATTTATTGCATTCGACAAGAACAAAGATCGGAGAGCGCGAGCGAACGAGATTGAGAGAAAGGAAGAAAGTAAGACAAACAGCGAGAGAGTGAGAGGGAGTGAGTGAGAGAAAGAAAGAAAGAAAGAAAGAAAGAAAGAAAGAAAGAATGAGAGAGAAAGAGAGGTAGAGAAGTGAGAAGAGAAGGAAAAAAGAAAGAAAATCGTGCCCATTCCTCACAGTATCTATGTATTTTCGAACAGTATTTTACAACGCGTTATATCTATGTCATTCGATGTACGATACGATACAATACGAGACGACGCGATACCCACGATATGCTTGCGTATCTGAATTCGAATGATACGTGATAAACTTGGACAATTCGTTACGTTAACATTCTATATCTTTTTTTTACTTCTCCTTTCTTTGTTTCCTTCGTTTCACGAAATGCATTTGTAAGAACTGATTTACCAAATTAACGCACTAATTAAGAGCGCAACGATAACGTTAAGTATTGTCGACTAAATTTTTAATCACAACCTCTAGTCGTGTAAGGAAGATAACGATAAAAGGCATTGATCACCGATACTTCGATTATTCCGAATATTCCGTGGGATTAGCGTACTTCTTCAAACGATTTATACGTCTTTGGGAGATAACGATAATGTTTGCGTATCTTTTCACAGGGTTTCGCACAAATATTATTTGCGAATGTGATTCACTTTGATTTCATTCGATCCTTTCTCTCCTTCGAATCGTACTACTTCGCAAAACCGCAATTCCATACCGGACCGTCTGTTTCGGGATATTCCGTTCATATTTCGCACGAAACATTCGACAAGGTGACGATCAACGTTCCGCGAACTTTGACAAAATGATCGATCGTGTTATAGACGTACCGATACGGCGCTAAGGAACAGCCGACTGAACTGAATAAAAAGATACTCTTATTTCTTATTGTAACGATAAGTAACGACGATATTCCGGGGCAAAGTTGTTTTTGCCACCCGATTTTACATTTTACACGAAAGCAATATATTCCGCTCTGTCTGTCGCATTCCACCATCGGAATTGTACAATTTTCAAGTTTTCTACGCTTATCGGCGTTTATATTTTACCAATGGTTCCGTTTCTACGCTACTTTTTAAGCTTTCCACGATAAATGTAATCTCGCGATCACGTTGCGTCGTCTTTTAAAATAACGATTCGACGGAGGCTCTCGTTCGAAGATGCAAGACGAAATTTTAATCGATTAACCAACAAGTGGAACAGGTATCAGGATGCATGCTCGTGTATGGCCGATTGTGTAAACGCGCGCGTGTGTATGTGTGTTTGTTTGTATCGCGCGTGTGCATGTGTGTGCGTGCGCGTGTGCGTGTAGCACATGCGTGCACGTGAATGTTCCGACGATGATGCAGCGTGAAAAAGAGAGAGAAGGGAAAAGTTTGGGCGCGGCAACGGTAAATGTTCGGCGGATATACAAGGGAAAAAAGTGAATCGCACGGGGTACGAGATAAGCGACTAGTGTTAGATGCATTTATATTATATTTAACATATGTATATTTATACATACATATATCATACATGGATAATTTTAATATGACAAGATTAACGCGCGAGCATAAAGAATGTTTGTTACGATTGAAATTATTTAAGAAGCACAAGAGAGTGAGCATGGCGATAACGGATCGACGTTGCTTTTCGCGACACCGACGACGAATCGGAATGTGGAAACGAGCCGAGTCGGGAGATATACCGTGTCCAGGGCCATTATAAACGGTGTGTATTATAATTAATGTATCAGCAGCAAGCAAATACACGTATGATATAAAGAATTACGAGTGAAACCGCTATTTTATGTATTACGTGCGACGCAACGGCAACGAGAGGTCGAAAAGTTTTATTTTACTCGCTAACTTCCCCTCCATCCAAAGTTCGATAACGCGCTCGCAGTTTCTGCCGATTATATCTTCTGTCCGGAACAACGATTGCTACGTCTCACCGTGTGCACGCATGCATGCATAGGCACGCGTGTGCGTGAGCAATATCTTAAGTTCGCGTGACTTCTTAACCGATGGTCGAGTCTCGTCGCCGTTTCCCGTCGTTGTTTATAATACATGTAAATCGACGCGGAGAGATGCAAATGAGGAATAACCATTTGGAAACATATGGCGATCACGAATATCATCCGACGCGTATCCTCGGTCTACCGTAGAACAGCGGCGAGGAAGAACGAAACGGAACGGATTCAGCGACGTTCGCGACGTATTCGATTGCTCGAGGGGGTAGAACCGCACCCTCGGCGTGGCAACTAAGAAGCGAAACGTGTCGATATCGTCCTCTAGCCGGCTCTATCCGGATCCATAGCCATCGCAACTCGCGACAACGACGGCGAAACACATCCTAGACTCATCGAAGAGAAGCTCGACGAGGCCACGTAGTGTATTCTATTAGCGTTTAAAGCGATCGCGAGTAAAATTTATACGAAATACGAATAGCAGCGTTAGTACGAAGTTTGAAGAACCGATGCCGAATACCGCACTGTTTCTTAAGACGTATCTTGAAAATATTTGTATGTAAATGAATGACGAAACAATAAAAAGTATACGCCCAATCTATGGAAGCAGCTTTCCCTTCCCGTAAGATGAGCGTGAAAAAATCGGTTCGCGGACGGCCTGGTGCGTATCGTCCGACACTTTCATTCGGTTATTTATAGATCCGTCGCATTGTTTTGCCAGTACGATCGCGACCCGATTTCTACGAACCGTAAATCCCTATCTGCCATCCGGAGACGTTGCGTCCCCCGGCGTTCTAGAGACGCGCTTTCGCGCGCGCGCGCTCGCGGTGCAACGAAACGCTGGATGGCGGCTCGATGCAGGTCACGATTGATAATAATCGCCGGCATCGATTGCGCTTCGCGTTGGCGAATTTCGATCGTTTACTACTATAGCAACGATGCGTCACGCTCGCGCAAGACGTGACGTAAGGCGAAAAAGCGTAGGGAACCGTGCATCGATGGGAGAAAGATAGTGATATGGGGTCGAGGGCTGGTTAGATGGGGTGGAGAGAAGAGGCAGAATGAATGACGCATAAGGCAGGCAGGGCAGCAAGCAGGAGGATATCTAGCGTGGTCGATCGCGGTCATGGCGTTTCCGTTCAGCGATTACGACTATACCCGTTTCTAGATGTATACGTATGTAGGTAGGAGCGACACTCGTGCGGCTGGTATCGTGTACGCGCCGTGGGTGCGACCTATGGGTGTTTTGCGGTTCGTTGCGGATCGATAACGCGTAAAGAGTATCGAGAGAGCGCGACGCGCGTCTGGATCGACCTAAGTAAGTAGCAGTAGGAACGTGGCCGTTCGCCGTGGCGTGCCGTGGTCGTTTCCCGTCGCGACGTCGCCGAATCGTTCGCCAAGTTTTCGCCTGTCACCTGGCACCGGTCACTCGGTTTATAGCGCGAGTATCTCTCGCTAGTTGCACCGCGAGAATCCGCGCGTGTCGGCTCGCGACGCTCGTTGCGCGACAGCGGAAGTCGGCAAAAACGCGCGAGCGACCGTGAAACTCACTTCGAACTGGTCAGGCGGGAAAAACGGGGTCAGCCGTCGTTGGTATCGCGTGGTATCGGTGACTGGAGGAAACGAAAGAAACGAAAGTCGTAAAGGTATATGCGGCAAAACGTAGACGCGCTTGCGCCTCGTGGGATACGGACGGACGGACCACGCGCTGCGGCGACACAGAAGCGGAAAGGGAGAGACGCGCGTCGCAGTGGGACTTTTGGAGAGGACGCGGCGTGGACTGTGACGATCGTGCAAGATTTGCCGGAAAAGAGATGACAAAATATCCGCTACGAGGACCAAAGAGTCGCGATACAGTCGCAGTAATCGGCTGCAAGTAAGCGCGGGACCTATGACGGTCCGTATGGCGTTGCACGGTGCGGTGCAAAAGCGTAAACCACCGCGTGCCGGATCCCGGTGGAAACAAAAATTCCACTACCACGACACACCGTGTGTCCGTGGCCTGGATCGATCTCTCGTTGGTGCATAATCACGCGTGGATCGTCGAAAACCAAGAGAAATAGAAGTCCATGTCGGGAGAGAGAGGTAGAGAGCGAATTAGTTACGAGACACCATCGAGATGTCCCATGGGCGATGTGCCGGTTGTCTTGACCGCACGTCGGATCGATGGAAAGTCGTGGAACCGTGGACGAATTAGCTCGCTGGTTTCTCACCCGTTTCGTCCGTTCTTTTCCTCGTCGTTGTAGCGTTTATTCCCCCGTCGGGTAGGGAATAAATTTGGTGAAATTTAGTGCATCGCTATCGAGAAATTCACGTGCGAATCGTGAGTAACGTTTGGCACGCCGAGACGCGAATGGATTGGTTCGTCGCGTGTGCCGGGTGAACCTCGAAATGTAGTCTCTTTGATTCGTTACGGAAAGCGGTAGAGTAATACTTTAACCGTATTAAAAACACGAGGCAAAAAACGGACAAACGGACTTTTTAGCTCTCTCATGCTCGAAAACGGTGGTTTGCTCCGATTGAAAGGCGTCCTTGTTAACGTTTGCGAGAGACTATGGTAGGGGTCGAATTGGAGAAAAAATGCCGACGAAGCGTTTGTTTTACGTTTCAGAGACGGATACTTGTAACACTTGGAGCTTCACTGATTAAAACGGATTCGAGTGACCGAGGTAGCCGAGAGATATCGCGCGCCTGCTAGATCCACGGGGCCAGTGGTCGATCATTGATCAAGCAACACGCGTTCGCTGCGGCTTAGACGCTCGACTGATAGCTACGACGAAAGCTGGCGATGCCACGAATAGGAGATGACGCAATGCACGAATCACGGTAGATGACGCATTCGATGACGGAACACTGGTAAGGAAATAATCTACCATTGACCGGGCATTGTTAGCACGCGCGCGTTTTATTTGTTTCGAGAAATGCGCATAAATAAAGAGAACGACCGATAAGTTTCTGGGCTTATCTCGTTGTCGATATCCGTAGTATCACTGCGATTTATTTCGATACATGGAATGTTTTCCAAAATCCCGTTTACGCGAAATTATTCGCGTAGAGAAATTAGCAACGAAGATCTAACTATCGGAATAACGAGATGCACCTCGTGATCTGTACTCAAAGTACCCTGTTCCGACTGCGTTCATTGACCGATCGATCATTGTTGTTTCAGCCCGAAGAGACGGTAATGAAATCGAACGTGCTTATGACTTGGCAAAGTGGGAACAATTACGAATTACTGTCACGATCACAGTCATCGCGTTCATCACGGTGATCACGACGCTGTCACCGACCATATCACCGTCGAGGTGTCGATACCGAACGTGAAACAACGAAACGAAATTAATCCTGAAAGTGGATGTCGCTATCCCGCGACGACGATTACTCGATCCGTTGGCGATCGTTGCTCTGCATCGAGTTCGCGGCACGAAATCACTGAGAAAGCCTCGGTAGCACGAGTCTCGGTGCATGGGCGGCAAGGAGGATCGAAGGGAAAAGGCGAGCAAGAGACAAACGCGGCGACATCGGTAAGAGAGCGTTGCGAGCAAGAGGGAAGAAAGATCCACGTAGGTATGACCCAGGGAAAGCAAAACTGCTGAGAAGCGGTGGCAAAATCGAGATAGAGGCAGTGCCGTAGTCCTGGGGGCCCAGGGTATATGCAAGATCTATTAATAACTTGTAATACGGTAGTAGTGGGGCGCTGTCCGCTAGCGGGTGAAAATAGAAAAGAATGTTTTTGGAATCCAATTGGACTTGGTTGGCCGAACGATGGGGCAATATGGCCGACTTGGCCGAGCGGGTGGACGATCTGATATGCAGTTTCGACTCGGCTGGTGACACGACCATGGATACGTTATCGATGCTGATATTCGGCTGGATGTTGTTCGGATTGGTGGTATTGTGCGTCGGCAAATACGTTTACAACCGATTCGTATTAAACGAGCTCGCTTCTGGGACAATTGTTACCGCCAAGGACGGCCATATCGTCCACGGTGATAGCGTCGGTGTCAGTGGTGGTGCTGCTGCTGGTGGTGGTGGTGGTAGTGGCGGTACTGGCGGTGGTGGTGGTGCTGGTGGTGCTGGTGGCGGTAGCAGCGGCAAGTTACTTTCGCTTGGCAAGCAAAAAATCGTTTCATCGGCTTCGGGATCGTCGGGGACCGGGGCAGGTGGTGGTGGTGGCGGTGCCGGTTCCGGATCGCCCGTAGCCGTCAATCATCCGTCCAGTGGTGGTGCCAGCCCGATTTCCGGTTCTTCGCCGACGTCCTATGTTCCGCCGACACCTCCTGTGCGCAAACGACTCACCGCCAGAAAGACATCCGGTGGTTTGATCAGCCCCGCGAGAAGTAGCAGGAGTTTACATCTGCAGACCGCAACTGGTGCCGATCCGGACGCGGTGCGCTGGGTCAACGAGATCATCGTTTGGCTCTACTCGGACCCTGCGATTTTGGACGAATTATTGGCCGTTTGGGTCGGATCCCTCAATCAATTTACCACCAACTCTGTCGACGAGGTGAGCCGATACTTTGGCACACGCAACGCTCTCGCTGATAACGATGCTTTTGCAGAAAAAGTATCAGGTCCGCTAGGATTATCTATGCTACTTCCACCTTACTTTTCGGCTTACGTCGGACAACGTGTGTCCGAGGGGGCATCCAATCGGAAAGATACCGTGGATAAGTTCAGGCACAAGTCGAGCCGAAGCGAACTTTGCTCGATCTATACGAAATCTCTCTGTCGTGCGCGAAACAACAACCGGCGAGGCTAGATAAGGCAACGGCAACCTTCTTGCCGCGCGTAGGTGTTCTTGAGCAATGAAAACACCGACTCGATCCGTTTACGAGGTGCTGTCGGACAATTTTACCGACAAGGCCTTAGGGATCTGCTTTTAAGCTCGTCGAATTACACGAGCTTACCGCGCCGTTAGCTCCTCCAAACCTCCAAACTCTCTGCGACCGTGCTAAACGAGAGCCAGTTAGGATTTCCGAAAAGCACCGCTCCTTCATATTTTTTCATTTTCTCCATGTTTTTACGAAGAAATTCATTTCGCGACTTCTCGTTGCTTACAGCATGGAGTCGGGGTCGAATTCGTCCGAGTTTTGCCCGAAACTCACCCGCCCAATCTCTCTAATATCTTTTGCGAATGCGACTCCAAGGATGATGTGGTACGTACGAATCCTAGCTGTACGAATAAACTCGCGTTCGAAACGTATCGTCACCTCGTTTCTTTCCTTTCAGACGATCACGTGCGATTGCGAAGCTACTCCGGCGTTACAGTTGAAAGCGTTCCGCCGGAAAGCTGATAAGCTCGAAGTTAGCCACTATCGCGTAAACGTAAATCGTTTCCGTGCTCGATTAAACGTCATCTGTATCACCGAGAAGCTTCTCCTCGATCTGAAATGCGATGGCTGGCCGGATGTTCGTATCAAACTTTACCTAATTTCCGCGCCGTTTGTTTACCGCATCTTTCTACACTTGTACTTTCAATTTTACGCTAGGTGAAAGTTTCGCTGGCCCAAGTGGGCACGATAAAGAAAGATCTGGATGAGAGCCAGTTGCAGGAAGTCGTAACGGAAATCGTAATAGGCGCATTAAGGGGGACCAATGTTCATCTGAATTTATTCCAATATCCAAGCTGTCCACGGTTATGGAGGGAACCAGCCACCACGCAGCCAAGCTTCTCGATGCCTATGCATTACGACAACGTGGTAAATCTGTTTCGAAGCGAACCAAATGGCGCCGTTACCAATCAGTGGAATAACTCGTTTCTAGAACACGACGGGCAGCTCGCTTCAAGTCTCGCGACAACGGCTTCAGACTCAGAGTCCAACACAGACGCAAAATCAGTACGTAGCCAGCGACAGACGATTGCTGGTCAAAGTTGTGAAGGCAGCGGAATTAGGTGGCGAGCAAGGTGCCGTGGAACCGTATTGCGTCGTGGAATTGGACGATCCACCGCAAAAGAATCAAACATCCGTTAAGAAGGATACTAGAAACCCGTTGTGGGACGAGGCATTCTTGTTGTAAGTAATTCGCTACGAGTGACTTGCATGGATGCGGAATCTCACGATCGTTCGTCATTTTCAGCGATGTCAATCGTAACACGTCGGAGGTGCTGATCGAGGTTTACGACCGCGTGAATAAGTCCCAAAGATTCTTAGGCTTGGGAATCGTCGGGATCGACGAGCTGCTCGCGAATCCGAGCCAAAGGCAAATCATACCTCTGCAAAATCGACCGTACGAGGAAGAGGATATTACCGGCACCCTGACGGTAGAGGTAAGTAAAACAGCGAGACGAGAGATACGATGTTATCTTAAACGCGGTGTAATTTAACAAAGTCTTTATTTGCTGCGCTATTTCATCGTTTTCTTTTTTCCTTTCCCTCCTCTCTCTCTCTCTCTCTCTCTCTCTCTCTCTCTCTTTCTTTCGCTCTGTCTCTCTCTTTTCTCAGTTTCTATTCATCGAGGGTGCGGAGGTGCCTCAAATTGGGAGCAAACCTTACAAGGTGAAGGAGACGATAAAGCCGGTGTCACCGACTCCTCGTACCTACACCCCGACAAATCTCATCAGCGACAATAGTCTAAATTACAACAATGGTAACAGCACACTTATCTTGTACGACTCTACCGTTCAACCCGATGGGGGTAATTACCAATTACTTTATCTGAAAGGCATTGCATTCGTGTTCACAAGTGTGAAAACATAGTGATACCTCGTTAGTATGTATGCCCCTTTGCAAATCGTGCTCCGAGACTTCTTCGCGTTTCTCGTGATCTATGATCTCGTCGAAGCGCCATTTCTCTGTGTTTTTTAACGTAACAGATCCTGTTTTCTCTTCTGCAACCATAGAATAGACCGCGTTGACTCGTCGGTTATTAGCAGCACGTCGAACTCTCCCTCTCGTATGTACGCGTGCCTGCATTTCTCGTACCGGATTGTACTTTCCACTACCATGTAGTAATTCGCATGACGTATGTTTATACGTATCTATACGTATAGAATTCTTTACCTCTCTCCCTTTTTCTTTCTACACCGTTACTTAACGTTGACTTTAATGATCCTCTAGCACGATACGAATCTATTTTACGCTCACTTCTCGGCCCGAGTTTCTTACGATCGACAATTCTTCGAAGTTATTTCGACTACCAGAAAAGCGAACCTGGCAAATCACGATGACAGTAGATACAATGCTTATATAATCGTGGTCACGTTGCCAAAGGGGAAATATTATCTGGTAAACGAAATGACGAATGCTTGGTGGAATGACGGACGTAGAAAGTCGTAAATCTTTGGACAATCCTCTCGCACCTGATGGAAAAAGTTGGAAATTTGAAAATATCCTAACACGATTTTCAGATTACCTGACGAACGGCAACGTGGTGGACTCGCCTTACAGAACCGGCCAGAGCAACGGGAACAAAGGGACTCTGATCGTGCACAGCCAGCAAAGGGTACGCTGAATAAATTTGCATGTTGGATGCGATTACGAAACCCGTGCAAATTTCTCGTTATTTACTAACACCGATCGATTATTATCTATCTTTTTTTTTTTGTTGTGTCTTTTCTTTTGCAGCAGTCAGAGCGACAGGTGATTAAGGTAAGCCGTTGTTTCGCATCGTGTCGTCGCCCTCTTGTCATCGTCGGCGTCATTTCAGTGTTCCGGTTATAAACCTGCGCACCTATTTTATTTATTATTTATCGATCCTTCCTGTTTTACACGCCTTTTTCCAATGTACATTTCAGTCTCAAGAATCACGGTTTTTTACTCTCTGCGAATTTCCTTTGCTTTATCGTTTCTTTTCCTTGTCGCATCTGTCAAATCGTTCGTAAATCAAGCAACCTTCCGTTTTATGAAAACACTAATCGTCAGTTGAGTGGCGTGTGTTTACTAATTCCACAGGTCGCCTTGACGGAAAGTGGGAACTGGCAAGAAATCTCACCGGAGGTAATTATTCATCCACACGAGTTTGTTTTTGCCTTATTATTAACATCGTTCTAATTTCGCGTCCTCGTGTTGCTAATCGTATTAGAGTCGATTCGAAAAAAGAAAAAAATTCCTAAAGAGCCTGTAACGATACTTGTAAAATAATTAGTACCTCAACCGTTCACCGATAAAGAATTGAATTTCTTTCGTTTCAGCATGGGGCGAAAGATACCAGCTTGACGTCGGGACCAGAAAGTACACCAAATTCTTCAAATTCCGAAGGTACTTTTCTCATCGATCGCGTAACTTCTTTTCCTTTCTTTTCCTTTTTTCCGGTTTTTTTTAGCCGATATTACGTACACTCGGTGACTCAGCTTGATAATATTTTTATCGTAGAAAGAGGTAGAACGAGGAGAAAACGGCGAGATTTCTTCGGCACGATAAAGAAACGACTGAGCCGATCGAAAACGAGGAGCAGATCGGTTGGACCGGAAGGTGACGCGAATCACGAGGATCCACACTCCAGATCCATATCTGCGGATCGAGCACGTGATCCTGGCTCTGGTATGTTTGCTCACGGGTACACATCAGACCCGTAAGGCGATTCTTGATTTAGAACAGAGTTAGTGCCTCCTCCCACTTGTAGTTTGATTCGTTAGCGTAAAATTCTACTTGTTTGTTTTGCACACGAATCCCGTGCATCGTGGCACGTACTGTCGGTGAGTACGATCATCTTGATAGCGATGATGCAACGAGCAACAACGATAGAGCACATTTTACGGAGCTTCGTAACATGATAGGCGGAAAAAAATACGTTACACATATGCCAAAATTACAACGCTAATGCTACTGCCAATGCAACGTTACCTCTGCCAATAACGCTTACACCCGACTAACGTTCATTTGGTGCAAACGATCGTTTCGCTTGAATTTTATAGCTCGTTTATCGATACCAGGAAGGGAAGAGCAATCGAGACGATCGAGTCTGAGCGAGGCATCCGGGATAAGCGGAGCATCCACGAGGACTTACGTCAACGAGGCTTCCACCTTGGTTCTGGAGACCCTCGAGAACGGCATTAAAAAGTAAAGAACTTTCGTTTCCTGTATCGTTGTCACAACGTGATAAGAACATTCGATGCGAACGATCCGTTGGCTTTCAGGCATTACCTCGTGCCATTGTCGCTCGCACAGAAGAGCAAATGGCGAAAGAAAGGGACAAAACTTCATATATTCAACGATCACACTTTCATAGCGAAACACATGGCTGGGTAAGCTATTGGTAGGAAGAGCGAAATTAGGTGATGGATGAAACGAAGGTGGAGTCAAATGTATAACGTATCGTTTCAGTGGGACAGTGTGCGAAGTATGTAAACGAACACTTGCGCGAAGACTGGGCAAACAAGGTTACGAGTGTAGAGACTGTCAAATGAAATGTCACAAACATTGTCACGTTAAAGTGGATACTACGTGTCCCACATCTACTATTCAGAGCATCGAACTGTAAGTTATCGGATTATCTGGTTATCCTGCGAAACGCGTATCGATTTCTGATCGATGCGAGTCAAAATCAAGGGAACATATGCTATTAATCTAAGAAAGAATGTTCGCGAATCATGAGCTAATGTTTTTTTTTTTTTTAATCTGATTGTCGCGTAAGGTCTCTTCTGCCAGTACTGAGTGAATAGGATGGGTAAGTTCTCGACGAAGAACTTGTTGGTACCAGCCTTTCATATTGCAACACGTAGCTACGCATGAACAACAAATTTCCCTGCTCTTTCTATAACAACTGCAATACAGTAATGAGCGTTAATTGTTTGTAGTTCCATACGATCGTAATCACACTGGTAGTGTCTTGCAATCGTGGAAACGCACGTGTCTCGTGCCGCCTTTATCTCGCTTCTGCAAATACTAATCGTTCGTTTGAGTTGTTCTTATATATATATATATAAACAATAAAAAATAGAAAAGTAACGCTTCGTTGATATTTCTGCTCGACTATCTGCTCCTAATAAGCAATTCGATTGCCTGTCTTTACGTTGCGGTGATTCTTATTTTCCGATATCGGAACATTTTTGTCTCTACACCCAGAACTGTTCTTATCCATCGAGAAACATTTGGAAATTTCGAATACCTAAAGCTATTTAAAGCGATTTAATACAATCTGCCTATTCGCTATTTTCTCTTTGTTCATGTTTAAAATTTCTATCTTGTACATATCTCTCCACGTTTCGTCAGTTCTGGGGAATATAAAAGGTTCCTATCATCTGTAGTTATTATTTATGCCGATAATGGTAGATATGTATACGAGTAAAACGATACGATTGTAGGTAAAATTATAAAATATTTCGATTGGTTTTAGAACGTGCATAAAGGTCCCACGGCCCGAGCGCAGATCGACCAGTCGCCTCTGCTGATCCAGTCTCGGATGAACGCCTTCGACCAGCTGAAACGTTCATCCTACTTGGGATCATGTTCAAGAAACGAATCATTTCCCCTGTTAAATTGTCGTTCAAATCGCTTCGTACGTAGTCGCCTATTCGCGAAGCGAATCACGCTACGCTACACGATATTGTAGGCAATCTCGTGTAAAACAAGCTGCATGCTACCTACGGTAATCGTTACGCTTGGCTTCCAAGCACGAAGCGTCTTTGAACGCCATAGCACCGTTCTGTTATCCGCTATTGTTACTATTACGCTTTTTAATCTACACAATCGAACATACGAACGTTAACGTGAACGTGAACGTAAACGTGAACACGAACGCGAAAGCGAAGCGAACGAAACGAAACGGATTATGCGAAATCGCGGAGAACCGTACCGATAACTTTCCTCTAGAAGCAAAACGTTCTTCGGTTCGGATAATAGCGAAGAGATAACGATTAACCCGAGTAGGTGATATAGATAACGTTCGTGACGAATGATAAAATATTTATCCGTTACTATTTATTCTAGCTTTCTTATCCCCTGTCGACTTTTCATGAAACTTTTTACACTTGGAAAAAACGTCCGATTTTCTATCGACTCATAATTTTAAGCTACTTCTATCGTATCCCTCTTTCACCGTTTTCTTCATTCATTCGTTCGTTTATCTGGCTCGCTCCCCCGGGAGCACAGGAGGAACAATTGCTTTAGGGATACGCGATGAAACGTTGAAGAAATTATATCGACAAGAAACGAAACGCGTGAACGATAGTGCCTCTAGATACGAAAGTTTGTGGTTAACTTTGAAATATTGTATCTTTATCCCGTGAAAGTAATACTTTTGACAATATTTTCGATCGTTATGCGACAAACTCGATCGATCGATCAAAATCAAACGCTTCAACGCGCACACTTGTGCCTATGTATCGTGCGTAAAGAAAGCATCGTAATCTTCGAATGATACCTATTACCGGCTGATGAATATTAATATAATTATTACGATTGATGATTACGATTATCACAATTATCATTATTATTGCTATTATTATTATTATTATTATTGTTGTTGTTACTAATGTCATTGTTACGATTGTTACTACCACTACACCCATCGAGAATAGCAGAATAGATAGCGGTCACGAATGGTTCACGGCGATACTCGAACGAAAATTCGAACAGCGGTTGTAACGATGATGATAATGATAATAATACTGTGTTACGTTGAAAGAAATAATATGGTTACATTATAATTCTACGTCGCACGAGTCTTTTATTCGCTTCACCCACCTTTTCCCTAATTTTCCTGCACCCCGACGAGCAACGATAACTTTAACGCGCAAGAAAACGATCTCCCTTTTCCAATGTAACGAAAAATCGTCTACTCGATCTCTCGCGACGTCGATTTTCTCCATTTCCGACTTTCAAAGGAGACGCGACAAATTGCTTCGACCGTTTTCGGAGCTTTCGCCGGGCGACGTTTCGACGGTTTCGGAATTCGAGAGCGTTTCGAACGAACGCGATCGCAATTTCGAGATCGGCGTGAAGGAAAGGTGTGTGGGAAAGAAAGGTGCCATGGGAAGCGAAAAGTCGTAGTGCACGGCTAGAAAGGGGGAGCGCGGTGTCGTGCGGTCAGCGGTCGTTTCCGACTAGATTCGGTAGGAACCGAGGTGCGACCGAAAGTGGAGCAACGGCGACCTGATTCGGGGTCGAAGCCCCAATTTTCGCGGGGTTGGCCAGAGCGGGGGATCGACAACGGGACGACGACGGTAGCCATGACGACGTGACGTAATATCCACGTCATCGAGAAAGCGCAACGACCTGGCCGTACGTTCTCGCGGCGCGGGTAGATCGGAGGCTGAATGGGGTGGTGCAGAGCGTGTTTTCGGATTTTCGATTGTCCCCGTTCCGATTGATTCGTTTTTGCGCGTCGGCCACACGAGCGTTCGAAAAATGCCGGGAGGGCGAGGGACGAGACCGGGACGATACCTGGAGATAGCGCGTATAATTGGTACACGTGTGCATATATACGCACATGCATGCGCGTATGAAACGCTACACGCCGAACGCGTAGCGTGTGTATACGCAGGCTGCAGCTGTGTTCGGTCGAGGTTGCCAAGTTCGAAGGATACGGACAAGCTGCAACCAGGTTTATTCAATCGCAAGCTCGGAATTAGGACGCGTTGTCGACGGCCTTTTCAATGACGTCAGTGACGTCACTAGTTTGGAAGGAAAACTAGGGCAAACGGACCGAGAAAAAGGAACGATGCACGAAAGCCGCGATCGTCGCCCTAGCTGAGATCATCTGCGTACATGGTCACCTATTTCTATGGGAAACCTTCCACTTGGTCGCGTTTCCCGTGTTTTCCCAGTCCTGAAATTTCGACGAACAGAACGAGCCGCGCGCGCGGCCAGGGTAACCGGTCTTGCCGGAAGTGGAGGAACGGGCGAAGGAACGTGTCCGAAAAGTGGACGGATCATGCATGGAAAGGTGCAACGCGAAGGTCTCGTGGACGCGGACTCGATCCTTGAATGAACTATGGTATTTCGTAGGGACGACACTAGCGGCGATCTGGGTCAAAGAAGGGTCGTGAATGGCGTTGCTTGCCTGGAGTGACGTCACGGGGTGCAAACCCCTGCAAGTGGGTCACTCGTTGATTCTGTCATGGCCGTAGCTATAAACGGACCAGGGACGTCCTTCCACGTTTCCACGTCTTTCCGCAAATCGTGTTCCGGTACGGGCACGTTGCATACGGATCACCCGGGCTGACTCCTGATTCCCCTCATCCCTATGGTATTTTCCGACGTGCACCCGGAACTGCTCCTTATCCGGACTGTTTCAAAGGGGTAACGATATTTTCACCTTTAAATCCCTACCCGTTCTTTCTTCTTTTCTTTCCTCTTTTTCTGGACAGCGTCTTAGCCTGGATCTCTTCCGGATACGGGTTGCGAAACGAAACGGGGACCATAATAGCATTGGTAAATAGGATCGCAGAGATTCAGAGGGACGATAAACGTGGACAGTTTGAATGAAAAACGTTTATTTGAAACGTAAACTACGAGTAGTATCGACATAGGTAATACTTAATATAAAACATTCAGTTCTGAGAATCTGTATTTCTCGCATTCTCTCGCCCTTCCGTTGACAGATTTTCGCGCGAGAATCATTGCGCATACGCGAATTCGAATTCGCGAAGGTACTCGTTAGGCGTGTTTTACTTGTTTCCCCTCGCTAGATATCGTACACCTGTTTTCCGTGTGCCAATTGTTTCACGATGCATCGTGTAACCACGCGGTAGATATTTACAAGGCACTGAAAAATCGCGTACAAATTCCGCGATTACGTTCGCCTTCGCGTAAATGAGAACTTTCGACGACAGTTTAAGAAAGAGATATTCCTTTGCCACGTTTTAGTCGGATTCGATTCGTTGCAACCGTTTCACTCACCGGACTTGCCCCTCGATATCTCTATCGAGTCGAAACGTGACGATTCGTTCCTTCTTCTGCTCGTCACACTCGCCGAAAGGCTGTCATTTGCTATTTGTCGTTTATCGTACCAGTAAGGCACGCCCGAATTTCCCGGTCTCGAGCGAATGCGGTTGCGCTGAACGAAAATCGTGTCTGCGAAAAGTGATATGTTTTAAAAGTACCCTTAAAGGACAAGTAATTCTAATCTATTTGAAGTATCCACGACTGAACGTTACGTCGGATGGTTGGCGATAAGGATCGCGCGAGATCGCTAGCGTTTAGTTTCGTTTCACTTGATTTCGTTTTCTTTCGTTGAACACTCGCTCCTATCCGTTCATCTCGACACGTCCGCGTAATTGACTCGTGTATCGTGATAATGTATCATCCTTTCGCGAAATGCTATTTCGATAGAAGCGCGTTGAGAATGTGCCTCGTTGCGAATTCGACAAAGAAGGTCCACGTATAAGAAAGATCGTCGAATGGTCGTATCGTATCGGTACACGTTTAATACTCTTAACTCTTCTCTTTTCTCTCTCTCTCTCTCTCTCTCTCTCTCTCTCACACACACTCTCCCTCTCTCGCTATATATATAGCGTACATATTATTCTGCTTTGTACCTGCGACCGAAATAGTCGTCAACTATCGAATTTGCTCACGTATTACGTAACTGGTATCGCTAGTGTACATGTTTTATCGAGTACTAAAACGTTTGCTACAAAAGATACATACATGCTTGCACGACTACGTTCTTTCTACGTGATCTATTTCGTTTACGAATAAGAGAGTAACAACAGAAAACGCGGTACATCGACGCACCTCTATCTACGACGAACGCGACTTCCCCGAAATCTTCTCGCCCTCTTTGATTCCCGATCAGACACGGCCGACGAAATCCAACCGATTCTCGAGGGAAGAAACGCGTTGGGGATTTGGTTCGGCGAGGTCCTCGAGAGAGCGAAAAGAAGAGGGAAAACGACGCGAGACGCGTGGTCGATTTCGTCTGGCGAATTTTCGACTCGTCGCGATTACGTACTTCGCTCGTATCACTGTGTAGACTCGTGTACATTTTGATCCGCTCAAAATGCTTGGTCGAGGTTTGAGAAAATGGCGGCAAAAATTTAGCCGCGGTTCGAAAAGGAAGTAGAAAGTACGAAAGGAAAGCGTGGAGTACGAATTTGGTGGATCGTACGAATAGACACGTGGTTCGCAAAAAATGGTCCAAGATTGGAGGGTCCGTTGTTGATTATTTGCGCGATCTATGTCGAAACGATCGCACGATGACACGCGAAATGGACAATGCAATGAGAGAGAATTGAATCAGGTGAATCGGTAGAGGAAGAATGAACCTAGGCGAATCGTAGAAACCGACTAGGGGTTCCGGTTCGAGTAGTCGATCGGAATTGCTTTCTATCGGTAGAGACCAAGGGAGTCTTGACAGGAACACGGCATCGCCATCTGCGCCATGTTTCTTGGAACCCTCTGTGTTGGTAGACCGGAAAGACCTCTGACGTACGTGTAGGCTACCGGGCTGCGTAGAATTCTCTTCGGGCTCTTCTTTACGTGCTTGTTCTCCTTACCCTCCCATTTCGAGGATATCTTGAGAGTTTGCAGGGCTCTTCGGAGGATGTCCGCGGTGGAGGATCTCTTTAGCGAATCACTGTCGGTACTGCTATGAGCGTCTGACGGAGTCGACGAATAAGACAGAGACTCGGAAGTCCTGCCGACACCTCTGACGTCACCGGGGCTCCAAGAGCGGGAAGATTTCGCTCGAACTCGTTCGGAACTTCTTTGGACGCCGGAAAGTCTCTCCTGAGATCGAGTAGGTCGTCCGCGAAGTCGGTCCAAGTAGCAATGGGTTCTCGGTGACCTGGTGGCGCGGCATAATCGCTCGCTGCTTCCGCGACGCGACAGCCTCTCCGCGCTTCCGGTACTTCCGCCGCTGCTACACCCGCTGTCCGTGCTACACTCGTCATCGCCAAACTCCTGCTTCGACGATCCTGGACCCCCTGTCGGACTCACTCTTCGCTTCGCGTCGCTCTTCTGATTTTCGCGACGACGGTCGTCCTCGGGATCGGTCAGTCTCGTCGTGTCTTCCATTATTCCCAACGACGAACCAACACCGTCGACTCGATCAAGATCACGAATGAAAATCTGCACCGTTCGGTTAGCCAGGTCGCTCTGTCGTGCAATTCTTCTCCCTTACGATTCGCACGAGTTTCTTTTAACTATGCTTGATCGTTGCTCCTCTATCATGCTCTTCCGTGTACACGGGGAAATGCGCGCGCTTCCAGTCACGCGTGCGGTTAATTAATGCGGTTAATAAAACACCTCTTTCACCGTGTTCACACTTGCGTAATTATAGCTTCTGCGAAGATTATAGCTTTCGTTGTTGCTCCTCGTTGGCCGTTTATTTCCAGCTGCTCCGTTCTCTTATTTATCTTCGTTGCTCGATTGCCTCGTTTCCCGCCAGTCGATCATCCTTCCAAATCGAACGGATCTTTTGACAGATAATCGCAAACACGCGTTGTCAATGCTCTGATAATGGCCGAGTTTGCCACGTGTATTTCGTATGCTCTCGAGGGCGGACTGAGACTCAGAGATTCGCGGTCTTCTCTTATATACTGTCGCTTTGCAGAGGGTGCGCGCATGTCCTCTCCACCACGTGAGGGTGCCAGTCGTATCCGCGAGGACGCGATATCGGGATGAATGCGATGGACGCGGTTCTTGGATTCTGCTACCGGATGCGATTCACCACTCAGCGCCATTTTCGACTTTCGCCCTTTCGACCCTTCGTCTCCTTCCACTCCTCCTTCGACTTTTCCTCCATTCGTACCCCGCGATATTTCGGTGAACTTAAAACATCTCTGTACCCGAGTGTACCGAAATCGCTGGGAACCACGGTTACCGAAATATGTTAAACGTTCTCCTTTCAGCTGCCCGGATATATTCTTAATGACGTAACGACCGGGAAACGACGAATCGAGTGTACGGAGGAGGATCGATACGTCGAAAGGCACTTGGCGAAACGAATTCGCTAAAATTTTGCAAAATTACCAGTCGAAAGAGTAGAGCTGGTGAACGAGTGACGTAGCCGGTTGATAAGGGCGAAAGAGGGTGGTAATGGGGACAGTGCAAGTATTGTATCGCGTCTCAAAGTAGAAAGGTCGGTGAACTCGGCACGACGATCGATGCCAAGGGGTGGATGTACCATGCAGGCTGATCGCATTGCCGCGAGCGCTAGATGCACCCAGACAATCAATAATTTCGTAGATATCGACGCGAATAAGTAACAGGAGAGGCATCTTCGAAGATGCGTTGCGCCCCGATCGTTCTGCTCGATTATCCGATTCCTAATTCGATCCAGGGATATCGAACGGATGTTCCTTCTCTCATACCCGTTCTCAGGCTATATCCATGGAGCACGAAGGAAATGTCCGATCTCTATGTTATTAAACGCTGACACATGTGGCAGAGCCAACGATACCGAGACGCGGAACACGTTGTCGACCGGAGACGCAACGTGATGCAACAAGCCGGAGATAATTTAGCGGGAAAATCGGAGCGATCCTCGTCGATCGGAAAATTCGTCTACATTCGGCCCTAAGCACAACCCGTAAATTAACGCGTGTCGGTGTAGGTGGCAGCGGACCAGGGACGATACCCAGCAGCAGCTACCCCCTTTGTACCACATACACGGCTACGAGGGCATTGCGTTTACCTTTATGTAACGATCCGGTATTGTTGTTGCCGGCTGCGTAATTGACTCGTCGTTCGTAGAAACAAAAGGCCGCCGATGGCCTTGCTCGATTTCCATGTAATGTAACGACTCCCTCGTCATCAATGATGAATTTCACCCCCGAAGTTTGGCCGTGATAAGGAGAACAATTGCGACCGATTCCTTTGACCTTTGGAAATATCCACGGGAGGCAACGCGAACTTGGTTCCGTCGAACCGAGTCACAGGCTAGTTACTGAAAGTGCAGAAACTCGTTACCGATCTCGTGGAAATCGTGGAGATCGACGGTTCTTCTCGCCACACGCGACCAAGTCACTCGCGATCGGATGCACGCGTCCACTGTCGTACGACTCAAGTTCCGGTGCCTCGTGCCATAATAGAAACAGATTCGATCACTCGTCGAGACATCTCGTCCGAGCACGGCGAAGAATAACGCGTAACTGAGGCAGAAGGCCGTGACCGAAAATTAGCCACGAGCCTGCCCGAGCTTGACGATGTTTACGTTGTTGGATCTCCTTACCGATTTCTCCTTACCGCGAGTCTCGCGCAATATCGCGGACGAAGTGACCCAAGGGGAAGAGGACGCGAATTTATCCGAGGAACGATAAGGAAGATCCCTTCCGCGTAAGGTATAGAATTCTGTCGATCCGAACGACAGTGCGACAATCGTTTAATCGATTGTATTGCACTTAGGAGTACATACATATATGAACGTGTATTCAAATACACGCACATATTTATATGACATAAGTGGGTGGAGAACGATTATTCGGAGTGTGGTCACGCCTACGTCCATTCTTATGTAATTGGATTTATAGAGTAACAACCAATCGCGTAACGAGCTGTGCTCGTTAGATTCTCATTAACGAGAAGGCAAATAATCGCGAAAAGGTAGATGCGGGACGTCGGGAAAGATTAAACGGTTTTATTGATATCGAGTCTAAAAGTACAGAACATTGGTGGAGAATCGAAGCACGGATGATACTTCGGGGAAAGTACAAAGATGCGATTATTGATTTTTCAAGATGAGGATATGAGTCGATCGGTTGATTGCTCGATTGTTCGGTTCAGTCGTTTGATCGATCGGTTGATCGGTCGGTCGATCGATTGATCTGTGTTGCGCCTTATCGGTGATTAGTAGACGTAGCTCTTGTAGATGTAAGGCGCGGAGGGTGCGTAACTGGCGAGAGGAAGAGGTGCCGGATAACTAGAGTAGAGAAGGGGTGCGCCGATGTTGGAGAGAAGAGCCGGGCCAGCGAGTGGAGCAGTGATCAAAGCCGCATTACTCAAGGGTGCCGGTGCCGGTGCCGGAGCCGGGGTTGGTGCAGGAACTGGCGATGGTGCCGCCAACGCGACAGCCAACAATCCGGCGAACAACAGCTGTCGTGAAATAGTTGGATTAACAGAAGAGATCCTTTCTGGTGCTTACCTTCTAGGTAACCTCGTCAGACGCGTACACTAGGACCATCCGACTCTAGGTCGCTCGCACTCACCGTTTTGAACATGGTTACTTGGGACGTATGGATACACTGCGTACAAGCTGAGACGATTATACCTCAATTCCCGAGGAATCGCTGCTTATATAGGGGAAACCGCGACAAAGATTCTCATCTTTCTACATCCCCCTTCCTTTTGCCCATCTCCCTGCATCTCGTTCCTTTTACCCATCTCCGGTATTCCACGAAGGGCAACAGCCGGTCTTCGAAGCAGACCATGAACGAGACACTCGCTTCCTTCTTGTTGGTACGTAGAATTTTTTCCACCGGCCGACCAATCCACTTCTTCCTTTGTAGCTCTCTGGAAAGGTTTTCCCGTGTACCGACCAACTACCGGCGAATCGCGGATTTCTTCAAGGTTACGACTCGCACGGGACCAGGCGTGTCCCAACAATACGAGTCATTTCCTTCTTTTTCAAGTCTGCATTCGAACAACTTTTTTCCGCCCAACGCAAACAGGTTTTCCCCTTTTCTCCACCACCACGTTATCCTTGCAACTTCGAAAAACGATCGACGATCCAAACACATCGTTCGACGGTTTTACCGGCTGCGTGCAAAGCACCGCGATCTTTGAACTTGCTCGGCATAATCGGCAACATCCGCGAGATAGTTTATCTCTTCGCCCTCGCCGAGAGCAGGCTGGGATGCTCGGTGAGCGAGAGCGGAAAAACAAAGACGGAGAATCATATCGGGGATTAAAACGTATTACCGGCTTGACGAAATTAGCGAGAGTACCGAGAGCGTGTGGTATCCCCTCGATATAGAGATGCGAGACGCATCGACTGAAAGGGGAAACGGCGTTCACCGATCTCACCCGGACTCGACGAACTTGAACTTGAGAAAAAAGCGTTCGCCTTACCTTGGAGCTGTGCAGCCTTGTGGCACAGGAGAAAAAGACGAAGAGAGCAAAACGCGAAAGCAGAGAAGAGATGCGAATGACCGGACCGAGCGAGTGAACGGCATAGAAAAGAATCGATCGAAACGAGATACAACGATCGGAGAAAAACCTTGGGACACAAAAAAGCCGGCTAGTCGAAGAATTTTTTTTCATTAATCGAATGGAACGGATAGATTACGGGATAACCGAGTCAGACGAGGGAAACGGATAGCTTAGACGGCGGGACGGAGCGAGAGGCAGGGAGGAGGAGTTAGATCAAAAGCAACGAGAAAGGATGAAAAACTAAACGAAAGTATAGCCGCGGATAAATCGTGTGGGAAGCAGAACGATCCGCGTAATCACTCGGCCGGCATTATAACCTTGTTATGCGTTCCAACCGGACGGGCACGTAGTCGAGAGGGTTATACAATTGCTCGGCGTGGTTGCTTACGTAATTCCACGATACTCATGGAAGTGTCCGTCCTGTGCTTCTCTTTCGATCAAGGTCATCGAAATCGATCGATCCATTTGTTGCGAGTGATAGCTGGCAAACGCGAGCAGTTTGAAAATACGATAGACGAGGCGGCGGCGGAGGAGGAGTAGCGCGCGAAAACGCGGCGACTCGCGTCCGGCATTCCAATGCGAGCGCGAGCAACGAAACTGATACGAAGCAGGTGACTACACCGAGGAGGTCGAGACTTTCGCAAGCCGCTCATCAACTTTTCGTAAGTCGACCGCCCCAACGCGGTGGACATTGGTATAAAGTGAGGAGGCTTCGTCGATTCTGCACTCATCGCTCACCAGCCGAATCGAACACAAGCTCAACATGATCAAGATCGCGGTAAGTGGTTGTCACCGACTTCGCTTCGACTTGGTCTAGCTTCTAGCTATACCGTGTTCGTTGCTACGAAAACTGCTGGGAAAAGGTTCCCTTTCTGACCGATATTTTCTCTCGATTTCCAGTGCTTCCTCCTCATGGCAGCTATGGCGTCTGCAGGAGTACTCCATACCGCCCCTCTGGTCTCCGGACCTCTGGTTGCAGCACCAGCGGCAGTGGCAGCTCTTCCAGCACCCATCGTAACGGCTAGAAGCAGTCAAGTCGTGGCTAGGAACTATAACACGTTCGCTGCTGCACCACTCGCGGCTTATGCCGCGGCTGTACCTGCGGCTCTACCTGCGGCCGTACATGCAGCCGTACCTGCAGCCGTCCATGCCGTACCTGCACCGATCGCCTTTGCCGCTCATGCTGCGCCACTCGCATTCTGATCCCGTCCACGTTGCGACCACCCTGATACGACTGTCCATCTGAATTATTACCTTTTAAGATTCTCGTTTTTATCGAATAAAACGCAGTTTTAAACGAAAGCAAACAATGTGTACTTCTACCTCTTCGTCTCCTTGCCTACCTTCTACCTTTCATCCTTTTATCGTTACTCGATGCTAGACTGTTAAGTTTCTGTCATCCATCTTCTCACCGATGCTTGCTATTTCTCACGCTCCACGCACCATGTCAGCTGCTTGGATAACTAGAAGGATAAACGGGATAAATAGAACGGAGTAAAAGATTTAACGCTCCAGTAAATAGGAAAGAGGTCTGCTCGTGGTAATCGCGATAGCGAGAGATCCTTGAGCCATCGATGATAATAGAAATTATACATATTTCCATCTATTTCTGATCTTCACAGTCTACGGAACCCGTGTCGAAACGGTTGCATCCTCCTATTCATTGTTTAGGGAAGCCCGAGATGCTGCGGAGGATGCTGTGCTACACGCATCGCGAGATTATTACCGTAATTACCGACTCTCCGTGAACTATTCTACGATACCGTCTGGATAAATTTCTTACGCGTTTGGAATCGTGAAAAGGGTTCCGTCCTACGTTGCACGATGAACGAATGTTCAACCCTTCTGTCACGAGCATCGCAATAAACGATTTTTAATAACGACAGAACCTTCGTTGATCGTTACCTCGATCGTTAGTTCGTGAGAAATTGACAGATTTGTCTCGCTGTGTATTTTTCTACTCGGCACGTACGCTTTCATAAATTGCGTCGTCCATGTGTTCCCGATACGCCACGAGAAAATTAGATTGCTCGAGTATCGGACGAAATAAATATTAAAATGTAGGATCAGCGTTCGGGGTCAAGAGCGGAGTTCGACGATACGGTATTCCGTATCGATGAAGCAAGGGAAAGTTGCGAGCAACGAGTTGATGAACAAGTCGACGTTTCCAGTCGGAAATTCGAGGCACGTTCGACGATCTTCGAAACTTGCGATGTCCCAACCGTCGTTAACGCAAACGTACGACCGCGTTTCGTATTTAGAACGAACATGAGCCGCACCCAAACGTATATCACACCGAATCGAAACCGAATCTCAAACGATTTCGAGATCTTCGTTGCGGTTGCGACAATTTCAGGATCACGGAGAGACGTACCTCGAAGAGTGCATTCGATCAGTCCATTTAAGCGAAATAAAGGATTTCGTCTGCGTGCAACGTCCCAATGAGATCGGAATAGCAAATGCACGTGGCCCAGCGAAATAACTCATCCTAAGACAGTGCCGACTGCGAGTGGAGATTGTCAAAACTTCTCCTCGTTCTGCTCTAACGCGAGACGTTCTCTCAGAACGAGGATTCGCGGTATACGTTGGTCGCGAGAGCAAAATGTCTAGACAAAGGACGTTGGAAGACGAGGTACCCGCGGTGAACGACACCGAGGAGCCGCGTGGCGCAACTCGATCAGGAACCACGAGGCAAGGGTAGAGATAGGGAAAAAGAAAGAAGGTCAGATTTGGCCATAGAGACGGGTTACCGTTGGTAATCGCAGGCGTGGCCTAAAACGAGCAAAGGTAATCCGGTATGCAGAAGCATGTTTCTGTCGCATCGTGCCGCGAACCAGTGTTACGAACATGATCGTAGTGGGAGTATATTCCCGGACGAAACTGACTATAAAAGAGCTCTAACTAATCCCCATGACAGTACAGTTGTCCATTGCGATCCACTCGAAACACACTCGAGCCTATCACCAAGCAAAAATGTTCGCCATGAAATTCCTGGTAAGTTACTCGACAGTGGTGACTGGCAATTGCCGATCGAGATTCCTCGGTTTGCCAAAAAACGCACCACGGTTTGAAAGTATATCTCGAGAGTTCGAACTAAAATGGACTAAAATTGGTTTTTTCGTTTATTTATCGAAGGTTCTTCTCGCTGGATTCGTCGCCGCCTGCTCGGCCGGTTTATTGCCAGCGGCAGTCCCAGCAGCGGTCCCAGCAGCGTTCGCTGCACCGGTCCCAGCAGCTTTGACGGTCGGAACCTACGCGACCAGCTACAACGCACACGCGGTTAATCATGCGGTCGCTGCACCGTACATCGCTAGCCCTGTGATCGCCCACGCCGCAGCTCCGCTCGCTTATCACAGCCTTCCAGCTGCAGCTTTCGTCGCTGGTAGACGCTGAAAACTGTACCGACCCGATGTTACCATTCGAGGACAGACCGTCCAGCGAAACATCCGGTTACGATCCAACGCAATGGCCATCCCAACCGTGAAACCACTCACTAACCTTCGATACTACCGTCCCCACCACCGGACCAAGATCCTGGACCTCAGCGAATGTCATTGATCTGGAATACAAATGGATGCTGCCGACGTTTCAGGATGTTTCACTCCTCGTTCTCTCCTTGCTTCCCGCCTTCCTCTCTTACCTTACCGATAGGATAGACCAATCTTCTACCCGCTTTCCATTTTGCAAAAAACAATAAAAACGTTTTATCTCTCTGAAAATACTTATCTTGTCTGTCTAATTTACCCTGCTACCCTCTCTCTCTCTCTCTCTCTCGTCGTGATTTTGCATACGAGGTTAAAAAGTCGAAGATTCTCGATCTCGTTCCCGATCTCGAACGAGGAGGTGTCGAAGGTGGAGGTAGGGGAAAAGAAAGAAGAGAGAGATAGGAAGCGATAGAATCGCGAAGTTGGCGAAACAAACGAGCAAAGGGAGGAAATCCAAGGCAACCGTGAAACAAACGACGACTCGTTTAATAGCTGTCGCCGATTTCGTACTTTTCCACGTCGTATACGCGCTAGAGACAAGCTCGTCGCTTCAGAGCAATTTCTCCAGCATTCCAGGTACAAGATAGAAGCAATAGAGCAGTGGAGACAGGGAAGAGGTGCACGGAAAGTGTCGGTGAGAAGCGAAAAGCAGATCGAGAGCAGAGGAAGAGAGTGAGAAGAGGTCGGAAAGATGCGTGAAATCGCCCATCTGCAAGCTGGTCAATGCGGCAATCAAATAGGAGCCAAGGTATCTCGCGAGTTTTCTCGTCGGTGTTCCTCGTCGATCATCTAGACTCATTCGTTCTCGACAGTTTTGGGAAGTGATCTCCGACGAACATGGCATCGACCCTACCGGCACCTATCACGGCGACTCCGATCTCCAGTTAGAACGCATAAACGTTTATTACAACGAAGCGTCCGGGGGAAAGTATGTTCCTAGAGCGATCCTGGTGGACCTGGAGCCTGGCACCATGGACGCGGTACGCTCTGGACCGTTCGGTCAAATATTCCGACCGGACAATTTTGTTTTTGGACAGAGCGGTGCTGGGAATAATTGGGCCAAAGGGCACTACACCGAGGGTGCAGAGCTCGTCGATTCCGTTCTCGACGTGGTACGCAAGGAAGCCGAGAGCTGCGACTGTTTGCAAGGATTTCAACTGACTCATTCTCTCGGCGGTGGAACGGGCGCCGGTATGGGAACGCTGCTTATTTCGAAGATTCGCGAAGAATATCCGGATAGAATTATGATGACGTTTAGCGTGGTACCATCTCCGAAGGTATTCTTTATTCTTCCCCTGCTTGCGCAGCCCTTTCTCCTTTGACACGTAGGATCGTAAAAGCGAACGTTACGTGCCTGCAGGTATCGGACACCGTGGTCGAACCTTACAACTGCACCCTGTCGGTGCATCAACTGGTGGAAAATACGGACGAGTCTTACTGCATCGACAACGAAGCTCTTTACGACATTTGCTTCCGTACTCTAAAGTTAACCACGCCGACTTACGGTGATTTGAATCACTTGGTAAGCGCTACGCTCAGCGGAGTGACCACGTGTTTGAGATTCCCTGGCCAGCTGAACGCTGACTTGCGCAAACTCGCTGTAAATATGGTACCTTTCCCACGACTACACTTCTTTATCCCTGGTTTCGCACCTCTGACCTCCAGGTATCGTATAGCTTCGTTTGCTCTCCTTCCGATAGCGTGAATCGATCATTCGTTTGGGAAGAAATTCGTAACTTTGATCGTTTTCCTTCGAGACAGAGGTTCGCAGCAGTACAGAGCTCTCACGGTACCGGAACTCACGCAACAAATGTTCGACGCGAAGAACATGATGGCGGCATGCGATCCTCGTCACGGACGTTATCTGACGGTGGCTGCCGTCTTTCGGGGAAGAATGTCGATGAAAGAGGTGGACGAGCAAATGCTCAACATTCAGAACAAAAACAGTAGTTACTTCGTCGAGTGGATTCCCAGCAACGTGAAAACCGCTGTCTGCGACATTCCTCCTCGCGGATTAAAAATGTCGGCAACTTTTATCGGAAATTCGACGGCGATTCAGGTAAATGGAGGCGTTAATCGTGGAATTTAATCATCGCGATGGGAATAATTACGCGAGTCTCTGTCTCGTCGAATTTAGGAATTATTCAAGAGAGTGTCGGAACAATTTACGGCGATGTTCAGACGGAAGGCCTTCCTGCACTGGTACACCGGAGAGGGCATGGATGAAATGGAATTCACCGAAGCTGAGAGCAATATGAACGACTTGGTTTCCGAGTACCAGCAATATCAAGAAGCCACCGCCGAGGAAGAAGGAGAATTCGACGAAGAGGAGGAGGGCGAGGGTGAACAACCCTGAGGTTGAATTATCCCTTAAAGTATATATATATATAGTACAAGTTCCGTTCCTTATAAAAATATTCATGTATCGTACAAACTGGTATTGCGTTTAAAATAGATTTCATTGTCTCTCTACACGTTCGACTCTTCCACCTCATCCTTTTCCCACCTAGAATTCATCCGTCCTCTTTAAGTCAGCGTTAATGTATCTTTAAAGGCGCATCAACCAACGTTTCCTCAATATACCATGTAAAATTGACCACGATGAATATTCCTTCTTGGCAAATTATTATTTTCAATAAATTCGATGAACAGTCGGTAAATGGATGGTGCATGTCGAAAACGCGTAACGAGTGTTTCCCTTGATCCGTTTAGCGGGAAAGTTTCTCACGCGTCTATGAACGTTGGCGTGTTCCCTCGCATGCGATAAACGCTGGTGCATCAATGACGAAAGCGTACATACGTCGAAGCTTCAACGATCGGCCATGAATCATCGAACGTCCTGCGAGAGAATGAAACGATAACATTGTCAACGGCGTTGTTATACCCGAGAGTGGTTCGCGGTTCTTTCACGGGCTTTGGCGTTCTACATTCGCTACATCGGTCGAGGTCTCGACGAGAATTACTACATTCGCGGTTTGCGTTCAAGTCTCGCATTGCTGGTTATTTATCGGGTATATACATCTTTCCCCGGCTCTCCTGTTCGTAATTTCTTCCTACCGACTCTCACGTTTCAGTCCGTTCCAATTTTATCCCTTACGACTTTACTCCCTTCACCGAGCATTCGCATCATAACGTTATGCATGTAATTCGGACGCAAAGCCGTATTTAACGCGAGTCTAATATGTAACCGTAAGTATGTGCACCGAACAGGTGGTGATAAGCATCAGTTACGTGCATGCAAATATAACCGAGGCAGATGAAAATAGACCGTCGCTATCGATTACTGGAAATCCGTTCGTCCAAGTGACAAGAATTCGATCTAGCGTAACGCGGCGACGCGTGGAAACAAAGTCGAGCAGAAAATAAACGAATCGTGAGCCAACCACCGTGTTCGTTATCGACGATAATCGTAACGAAAGCGAGCGTGCGCGCGCGTGCTATCGCAACGTCCGCGAGCGATAGCCATCGGTCGTGATGCAACGGCGAACCAGCGCCTTATTTCGAGCCAGGCGATAATCGCGGATGACTAGCCAACGCCCGTCCAATCCTCGCCAGCGATACGCTTCGTGACGCGACATTGCTCGCGATCGCTATGAATCGCGAGTGATCCGATTCTCGGCGACGTCCGCCACTTTTATAGCCGAGCATCCCCCATCTGGAAGAACTGGTTGCTTTTCGACGACGCTCGGGAGAGGTCCGAAAATCTTGTCCTGGTGCCGTAATCCGAAAGTCTTTGCACGATATCTGACGGGAGGCCAAGGCCTTCCGGATTTGGGCGTTGCTAGGCTATCGGCGATCTCGTATCGGACCTTTTCGTACCGATTCGACCTCCGCCGATCCGCCATTCCCGACAGCCAAAACCCATAGAAGCGCCGCGACGAAGGACGAAACCGGAGAAAATAAAATATGAAAAAAAAAGAAAAAATGGAAGCTCGTGGAGGTCGAACTTTGTCGGATGGCGTTCACCGAAGCAAAGAGCAACGTTTACGAAACGCGACCTTGCTACGAAATGCGCGGCCTGTCGTTGTCAAATAGGAGAGAGAGGGAGAAATTTAGACGAGGCATACTGGTTCCGGAAAGAATTGCAGACGCCTGGTGAATTAAGAAAACGAGCGCGTGGATCGCGAGGAATCATGTCGCTCGTTCGTGCTTTCGCAAACGGTGTCACAACGTCCCTGTTTCTTTCGTCTTCGGCTTGCTAACCGACCGGCCGGCCACCCTAAACGACGCGCGTCTGTATGCGTCGCGACGCGTTTCGGAACGCCACGGAGTGGGCGTTAAAACACGGCTTACCAATTGTTACTCAACAGCGTGGCTGCTCGAAGTAAACACGCCGTATAACGTAATCGGTATCGGTATTAACTTCGATCGGTACAGGTGCGTTACGTTATCGTGGAAATAGAGACCGGATTACGGGATGGGATTCGCGTGTATTAATTAGCGAACGGTCGGCTTAGCTAACTGAAATCATCTAGAAATACAAGGGTTATTTGCCCGTTATAGACATCGCGGCTGGATCCTATAATCGGCCGACACGGCCGTTCCTTTTCGTAAGCGAGCAAAGTAAACTCTGGTACGCTGGTGGTACCTCGTAACGAGATTCCAACTAGAGCGTCCACGTACATCTCCATCTTCGCGATGCCAAGGGGACGATAAGGAACTGTGGTGTGTCGCAGGATCGTTGGTATCGGCAATGGGCCGAAACGCAAAAACGATGCCGGGGTCTTTCGGGTACGTTGCACGCGGATCCAGATCAAGATACACGGTCCTTGACAATGTTCTCCCTACATGGAGTACGAAACGAAACGCGAAAAGACCCTGAATACGTCTAGCAGCGAAGGTAGTGGAAAGTAGTAGGACAGTCTCGTTGAGGACTAGCGGAGCCGAATCGGCTGGAGGAACGCGTTCTTGGTGGGAGAGGTCAACTCGGAGGAATAAAAGGGCAGCGGTTCGACTAGTCAAGCATCATTCTGCTCTCAGCGATCTCAGCTGTTATAGCACGAAACTTCAAAACTCTCCTCGTCGAGTAACCACACATCTCCGCAACCATGTACAAATTCGTCGCTCTGTTCGCCGTGTTCGCCTGTGCCTTGGCTGCTCCTGCTCCTGCACCTGCACCTGCACCGGGTTACCTGGCACCAGCCGCGTACCACGCGGCGCCGGTGGTCGCCGCGGCGCCGCTGGCGGTGGCGCACACCGTCCCGGTCGCCACCAGCTACGCCAACACCTACAAAGTCTCCGTGAAGAGCCCAGTGGTCGCCGCAGCTCCCTACATCGCTGCTCCTGTAGCCACAGCCGCCGTCGTCAAGACCGCTGCACCTTACATTGCTGCCGCTCACGCTGCACCATACATCGCTGCTGCTCCTGCTGCAACCGTACTCGCTCACGCCCCGGTTGTCGCTAGTGGATACTCGTTCTGAAACACGCCACACCGCCATTTAACAACTGGTCCACGTCTCCAGCCTCTCTAGTCGACCGTGCTCTCTTTTCGATCTCGTCGTGCTCCCGAGATCGGAGATTCATCCGGCATCGGACATGACTCGAAAATCGACGCTGTCGACTAATTATCGATAATAAATTTTTGCTAATTTTCAATTTTAATCCATTCGCCGATGTTTTCTTCTTTCATCCCCCTTCTTCCTATTAGCTTTCTATTTCCCTGTCTGTTCCCATCCTCTCGGTCCCCTCGTCGCCCACAGGTATCGAACCGCAAATCCGATTGTTCACGATTAACCATCTAATTATGCTTCCGGATACGTTCGTCCCGATTGTTTCGTCCTGTATTCGTCGCATCCTCGTCTCGAGGATACGAGGAACGGATGTGAAAATTTCTCGAAATCCGGTAAGAAAGTTAGAACGAGTGGGTGCTTGGAATAAATGGAGAATCGTCGGGAAAATGAGCAAAAAGCAGCGGAGGAATCCTGCGACGAATCGAGAAATTTCTTCGGTAGGAAATTTACTTGGCCTCGAGTTTAAGGACGAGCAAAGTACCTAGATAGACCTGCGAACCGGTTACAATCACGAGCTCGATTTTTGTCGTCCAAGCAGGCACGCCCTTATCCCTTCTTCGCCTGGAATAATCGATACAGGGTTTTACGCGAAAACTTATTTACGGCATCCTTCTCTTTCGAAACTTTTAATGGTCAAGTGGTCGCGGAGAAAAATACCTAAGTAACCTAATCTACTTTTCAGAGTTTTATCCCCGAGCGTATGTCACAGAAACGCTGATTAATCGCGAAATCCGTGTTCAGGGATGAAAAGTTCAACGTATCGATTGGCGTTAAACTGATAATCGTGGAAGACAATTTTCATTGTATCTCGATTGCAACATATTACATCACAGGCTTTCGTCCGCTTGTGACAGCCAATCCGATACACGGCTCGTATGTATCCTGTGATATAAACATGACGATACTCGTTAACTCCGAGCTTACGTTCCGATTATTATGCCTTGACGATTCTATTCTTCGCCGTGCTTTGTGCGAAATTTCTTTGCTGCAGAATTAGACGTCGCTCGATTATAGCGTCTTGATTCGCTAGGTTAAAGCGTGAAAAATATATGCGCCAGTTAGATCGACGTCCTTTATGGCGAGGAATATTCGCCAAGTACGAACGATACTTTTATTCTTTCGATCAGTCGAGCAGAAAAATCGGCAATGATATCGGGAATAATATTCCCTGAGATTTTTCCTGCGCAAGGCTCAAGGTGAAACCAAGTTACAGGATAAGTCCCGCCCCTGAGGTCGAAGAGGAATGTAAAGACGTGAAGGGACTCGCGGTCCCTACTCGCGAACGAGGACGGGTTTCCTTTTTACGGCACCCCCAAGATCTCTATAAGTACGAGAGGTTCGAGTCGATCCACGACCAGAAATAAAGGAGCATCTGGCAGCGTGTGCGCGGAAAGCTCGGACTCACCATGCTCAAATTCGTGAGTATAGCTTTCTCGAACGATCGACTCTGCGATCGTCGCGTTACCTTCGCGAGGAAGAAAGTAAAGAGAAAAATACGTCGTTTCCATATAGATCGTTCTCACGATCGCGATCGGCAGCGCGGCCTACGCCGCACCGGCGTCTCCGTCGATAGCTAAAACGGAAACGCTCGATGAGTCGAAGCCGTTACCAACCCCGACACCTGCTCCGGCACTGGAACCAGCCTCTGCATCGGCCATACCGGTCATCCCGCCACGATCCGCAGCATCTGCGAAAGCTCTCACTACGATAACCGAGATCAAGACACCGGCCTCGACCACGAAACTGGCGCAATTGGTAGCACCCCTGGCGACTCCAGTGGCTGCGGCACCTATCCTCTCGCCTCTTCAGGTCTGTACCATGTTCAACCGAGTAGGCAGTCCGTTCCATTCGAGTCTCCTTTACACGCTCAAGGTAACTTTGCCTCATTGCCTTTCAGGTCTCCGCGTACGCTTACGCCTTGCCAGCTCTGCCGCAGCTCGAACTAGCAGCAGCGCCTTCTACTTACTCGATCGAACAGCACGGTTATCGCATTATCTACTGACACCTCGAATCATGAATCATCATCATCACCGCTCGTTCTTGGATTCAGGCGATAACTAGACGCAACTAGACCCAACGGACCTAGCATACCAACATGCAGAATACGGCTCTCCTTCTCACCGGTCACCTCCATGTATCGTGTATCGATAAATTCGCTCGACAAACCACGTAACAGTAATATCGATTTCAAATACACATCTGTTCATAAGATCGAACCTTTCTTCGTGTACCCATACAACCCTTCCCTCTCCACCTCGTCGAATCGAAATCGAAAGTGAAAATAGATCCCACTTTCTCTGCGTTAACCAAACTCTTTTCACGCTACCGGAAGACGATACACGTGGAATAACAATGCGCTTTGACCACCACGCGTAATCGATCATCCGTAATCTTTATTTCGCCTTTCCTCTCTCTCTCTCTCTCTCTCTCTCTCTCTCTCGATCCGGAAAATTTCCATCGGTTCCAACATTTCGCCGATTTTCCGGATTTTCCCACGGACTTTCGAAAAGTTCGCTCGATCGCGATTTCTCCGCGATCGAAAGTCGCATAAGTAAGCGGGTAAATCCCAGAGGGTTACGACAGAGAGGGTGGAAAATCCGGATTACGCAACCGAACGCGAGTCGACGATCTAGCGTACCGTATTCGTGCCATAGTTTCACGGTTGCCAGCGATATAATCGAAAGACGATCCATGGCTTCGTGGAATTCGGAAAAACCGATCTTTCAAGAACAATGGCGCGCGATTTCTTTCGTTAATCGTATTTACGAATTGATCACGAGTCTGAGGCAAATCGAGGAACACTTTCTCCCGGATCTCGAAAGCGCGTTGCGGAAGAACCTGCCACGAAAATGGTGCTCGTGGAGGCGTTCGAAAACAACTGCCGCCTTTGAAAATTTCAGCGCGACAGAATTACCCGCTGAAAAATCGAAGCTTCCAAACTCGGAACGAGGTTCGAGGTTGGACCAATCGGTCTTTTACTTTCCCGTGGCAATAGAGGAGAAAACCAGCGACTTTCTTAATACAGGCAACCATACTTCAAGCTTTCCCGTTCATTCGTGACCAACGTAGCGTTTATCGAAACGGCGCGGTCCGAAGAAATTCTCTCTGTCAATGGCAGGATAAAATTCTCTCGCCGAATTAGACGCCGTTTCTGATAATTCGTCAAACCGAGGTATACGTAGTTTTAAGGTTATTCTTAAACGGGGACGCTTCGTGGTCGACGTTACGTAAGTCTATTAACGAAAATCCCGCGTTACACAATGTGCTTGTATAGATTGGTACGCACCTACGTCGCTCGAATCGCGTCATCCGTGACTCGTGACAGCGACCCCAATCGATCGAAAAATTTACATCTCCATATCCTATCGTTATTGTTATTCTTCGCAAATCCAATTTTCATTCATATTTCTGCCCAAATATATATATTGAGATCGTTTCTATAGAAGAAGCTCGGAAAGGACGAAAATATCTAGAATTCGCTGGTTCTATTTCCGTTCCCATTCCATCGATGTTTCTTCTTCGAGGCAACAAATTTTAAATTTTTCTGACAATCATTAAGAATTTAAAGATTCGAGAATTTTACAGATTTAAGGATTTAAAGATTTAAAGTGGAAGAAGAGAGGAAGGTCCTGTAACCGCGATGGCGCACTGTCAAGCGACTCGACATGCCCAGAATCGCTAACCACGTGCACGAGGCGAATCCTGCGCGAGCAATGGATGTAAGAACACGACGCGATTCATGGAAGCTATTCGAAACGGATGTCCGGCAGGTATGAGTCACGACTATACCCCACCGTGAGTATTTTTGCCGGTTCTCAGCATCTCCGAAAGGGTCGTCTATATAAGATACGAATGGCATCGGTGAACGCGCAGAGTAACCTCGTTCATGGAGAAAGCGTTTGGTTAGAGAGCGAAACCCGACGCATCGCAGACATTCGCTGTCAGGCTACCGGTTATAAAGGACTTCGATCAGTGACAAGAGTTCTAGTGACAAGGGTTAAATTCCGCCACGGTTAAAGTAAGTAACGAACGAGACATTCGTTCACCTGTCAATTCACCCCATCCTCTCGAATTAGCCCTCGCACCCTGGACTTCTTCCGATTGTTTCCCCTTTCGCTTCCGAAAAGTTGTGACGTGTTTATTCGAAATTTGCTAAATTTACATCAAACGTAACGAAACTCCAGATCCCTCCTTAATTTCCACGACACCCTATTCTATATTCGGTCAACGAGAAGTAATTTGTTTATGTCGCTCAGACATTACGCAACAACTTTCACCGCGGTCGAAAATTTTCGAAAGAACGCCTACTTAGAAGACACTCGCTAATGTAGGCGTGTAAGAGTATCCCGCAAAGACCAGTTTAGCCACTTTCTCCCAACATCCTCTCGCTTTCGTTCGTCGGTTTGTCGGTCGGCCGTCACTATTGTTCCAGTCGTACGATACATCGGCAGCCACTTTTCCCGCTGCACTTTCCTTGCTCCACTATCCTTTTTCTCGCGTCGAGATGTAAGTAGTAAAACGCGATTTTAACATCGTTACTCTGCAACCGCATCCGAATAATTTTTATAATTTTTCTAAATCGATTATTTTACCATCGATTTTCTCTTTCAGAATGTTGCTGTGGGCCATTTGGCTAGTGGCTATAGTCGCTCGCAGTTCGGCGACTCAGGTACCAGTAGATCAGCCCGAATGGTCATGGCAAAACGACGGAGGCATCCAAGTAGCCAATGAACCCGAAGATTTGGGCAAACAGGAGACCCCGGGAAAGGGAGTTATCCTAAAGAAACGATCGTACTTACGGATCTTAACGTGAAATATACATACGCGACTAACGAATCGATCGTTTCTATTACAAGGTGGAATCGGTAGTAGACGAAATTCTTGTCTCCAATCGACAGGGTCGCAATATCGAGGGTTTCGACCAAATATACGAAGACCCGGAGGTGAAGAATGCGCTTCAATTGGGAAACGATACGATCGCTCGAACGTACATCAGGGACAAGCTGTGCTCCCTCGGGTTAATGAACGTGAGTACGAAGTGAATTAACGAATCGACAAATGTGTTTGGTCAGAGATATACCATCGAGATTTTGCAGTGCGAGAATCCAGAAGGACGTCGCCCATACTACTCTCCTCATCGCGGCATATATCCTCAAGACATAATTTACGCTCAACCCGTGACCATCAAGCCAGTCGGAAGACCTTTACCAGCTATCCCAGTAAAACGACCATATGGCTCGACGAGACCTGGCCCACCATCCTCCGGTTTTATCTCCTCTGGACCTCCTCCAGAAGTGATCTACGGAGTCGGTGGCGCGCCGCATCCTCCCTCGTTCGCATCCACGCCTGGCTTAATCGGTTCTTATCCTCCGTTCAAGAAACCAGGCCCACCTCCGTTCTCGTCGAAACCGGTGTACGAAGGAGCAATCGTGAACGAAGGCTTCGAATTCGGCAGCAGTCAGTTCATCGACAAGAAGCAAATCGCGTTGAGACCGTCTGTCGGCTCTGACGCGGTTCAACAACACGTTCATCATCATTATCATCACGGCGACAGTACCCCGAGCTCTGGTGGACCTTCTTTCATTCCCATCGGTCAAGGAGCTTCGTCTCACGGTTACGGCGCCAGTTACGGGAACATAGGTACCAGCTACGATATCCCGAATGCTGGAGTTCTTGGTGACGGCTTCCAAGGCTTGGAGGACTACAAGAAGGCGTTCAAGGTGAAAGGAACGAGCAACGGTGCCAATGGACTGAATGGCGGTTCTTTATCGGCAAACAGCTATGCCGAGCAGTATCCTGTCTACGAGAAGCCGGCTCGAGACTTCGCTTATGGGAAAGCAGACGGCCATAAAGGCAGCAAGTACCTGACTGGAAGCAACTTTGCCTCTCCTAACGCGGTTCATTCGTCCTCCAACGATTACATCGCCTCTGGAACTACTAATAGCCACTATTACGGTAACGGCGATAACGAGGGCTTCAGAAATGATTTCTCCGCGGATTATTCCGGGGATTGCGTTTGTGTTCCGTACGCGCAATGCCCGAGCGAACACGCGGGTCGTAAGGACGATTTGTTCCTTCCCATCGATCCTCGTAATCTGAACAAGAATATCGACGCCGAGGCTATCGTCGAGGGAGCAGCCGCGGCTGTAGAGAACGAAACCTCTGCCATCTTGCGAGCTGGGAAGAAGAAGTCGAACGGAGAAGGGGTAAGGATGCTGGAATCTCGTTATCTTGCTAAATCATAGGCGCAGAAAGTACGTGGTCGTTGATATTGTCGTCGTCGTTTCGTTTCGAATAACGATAGTCAGAGGGCAGGGTTCGGGTCTTTATCGCGGCGATTTCGGCGAAATGCGAAATAGAAAAATACGAGAGCTCGGTCTCTATCCCCGTGACTGTTCGACTCTCTGGTTGCAGAGACTCGATGCTAGCGATCTGGACTCTTCGAAATTAAACCTCAAGCCGACCTGGGGGATCAGTTTCGGTCTACCGCAAACCGGTGGCTCGTACCCGATCAATCCTTACGGCGACAATGCCCTGGTAAATCCATACAGAGGATACGGTTCGGCCGATCAAGGCATAAATTTAGGCCTGGTTTCCGTGAATCCTCTGCTAGCTGTACAGTTCACCAAAGACGAATACGGCGACAAAGTGGTAAAACCGTTTGTAAATTTTCACGTAACGCCTAATCGGAATATCGTGCAGAAACTCGGTCATCTGCTCTCTCACAAGAAGCAAGCTCTGTTCGAAAGCTACGAACCCAGCTATGCGCCGCATTATCCCTCGAACCCTGTCCAGATCTATGAAAAACCGTATTACGTGAAACCTCACCATCCTCCCCATCACTATGCGAGCCATCACGAGCCTCCTTTTCCCCATGACTATTCGGATTACTATCGAGACGGCGATGACGATTACGATTACGATTACAACGAGAATCATGGTTTCGCGCGTAGCAATGGCAATAAAACGCCAGCTACGGCCGATGCGAACGAGCAAACGGTTGCAAAAGAAAGAACCGATGGGAAAGTTTCGTTTCCGAACAGAAGAAAGCGTGACGTCGAGTCGGAAGCGAGACTCGAATCGAAAGGCACGATGGAGGTAAATATCAGACCTTTTCCTAAACTCGTCTCGTCTTCCAAATATGAACAACCGAGAGAGAAAGATCCGCTCGAGCTCTCGGCTTGTCGTATACACCGAGCGATACTGGTGTAATTGCTCTTCGAAAAATACACCCGAATCACGACTAAATCTGATTAAACGCGCTTCTATAATCGAAAATCTTTATTTTCCCGACAGCGACAATACATAGGTCTAGGTTCTTCTCGGGTTTGCGGTCCTGGCTACGTCTGCTGCCCGCAAAGACAACCGACGAGGAAACCGTCGCGACTTGGACAATGCGGAATAAGGAATACTCAAGGGATCAATGGAAGAATCAAGACTCCTTCCTACATCGATGGTGACGCTGAATTCGGTAAGAGATCGATGTTTCGTTCGATTGTCGCGAGGAGTCAATGGTAAAATTACCGTTAGCTGAGATTAGCTAATTTCATTTGCTTCGATAGGCGAATATCCCTGGCAAGTTGCGATACTGAAGAAAGATCCGACAGAAAGCGTATACGTGTGCGGTGGTACCTTGGTTTCATCGCGACACATCCTCACAGCAGCTCATTGCGTGAAAACTTACGCGGCACGAGATCTCCGCGCCAGGCTAGGAGAATGGGACGTAAATCACGACGTTGAGTTCTATCCCTATATAGAACGCGACGTAGCCAACGTCTACGTCCACCCAGAGTTCTACGCTGGTACCCTGTACAACGACATAGCGATACTGAGGATCGACCACGAAGTCGATTTCCAGAAGAACCCACACATCAGCCCTGCCTGTTTGCCGGACAGGCACGACGATTTCACCAGAAGCAGGTGAGTACTATCGCTCTTTCAGCTCTCTTCCTATTTCGCATCCGTGTAACTTGTCTTCGTCGGTGTTACATCGCGAAATAGATGCTGGACAACAGGCTGGGGTAAAGACGCCTTTGGAGACTTTGGGAAGTACCAAAATATCCTGAAGGAAGTCGACGTGCCTGTAGTGAACAACCAGGTCTGCGAACAGCAAATGCGGCGGACAAGATTGGGTCCGGGTTTTAATCTACACCCTGGATTCATCTGTGCCGGAGGGGAAGAAGGAAAAGACGCCTGCAAAGGCGATGGCGGTGGACCCATGGTTTGCGAACGCCATGGTCGCTGGCAGCTAGCTGGAGTCGTGTCGTGGGGTATCGGTTGTGGACAACCAGGTGTTCCAGGAGTATATGCTCGTGTTTCTCACTATCTTGACTGGATCCAGCAAGTCGTGAATCGTTACTAATTTAATATGACATAAATTCGACTCGTTACCTCGATCTATCATTACTCGTAGTATTTGGATCACGTTCGATTCATTTTCTTTCGTTTCTATTTAATATCATTCGATATGACTGGAATATAACGTCGTTCTACATTGATTAATAACAACGAAGACTCGAGAATTTTATAAAGTATAATTTATAATGTATTATAAGAATGTGTATACATCGTGTAGAATGTTATGTAAATTAATTTTAATTATTCGTTTATATCGATTACAAATAGCGCGATATACACGATAATAGGAATCCGTCGTTTTCGTTGACCGTGATTCGAAGTAAATTCGGATCGTTCAGTATTGCATTTTATTTGCAATTTATTTCTTGTATAATTTTATTCTAATAAAACTTACGCAATCGTATTCATGGACTTCTTTGCTTTCGTAACCGAAAATTTTATCAACTATGCGTAGCTGAAGTGACATCACGTTACACCGTTATCTTCGATCTGAATAAAATATTTTACTATGTAACAAAAACATATTCATCAAAATAAAATATTGATCGGAGTGGTGATATAACAAATGTATAACAAATGCTGTAATGAAAATTGCAAATATTTAATTTAAAGAGTTAAAGTGTTAAATCGAATATTGTATTTTTCCTTACAACATTTATTAACGTTATTAATAGTAAATTACAATGTAATAGCAAATTACAGTTTTAAACTGTATAAAATATCTGTAATAATTTTATTAGCGAACCTAGCTTGATTCTATCACATCTTGATAATATAGGTGTTTAACTGTATCGACAAAACTTGATAATATAGATGTTTAACTGTATCGACGAAACTTGATAATGTAGGTATTTAACTGTATCGACGAAACTTGATAATATAGGTGTTCAACTATATCGACGAAACGGAAGACACGTGTTAGCTTGTAAAACATAGAGCTATATACGTCATACAAAATAGATCTAAACACAAACAAGGTACAATGTAGATGTACCTTGTTGTGCCTGGAGCTGTTCCAGAGTTTCTTTGTTATTTGTCTGCCAACGTATTACACGTACGTGTAATAGAAACAAAAGCGAATACAAATAAAGCATTCTATTTTAAAGTAAAAAAAAATTTGTTTTATGAATTATATTCTTACCAGACTATGTAATTTAAAGTGTAATAAAGTTCGAAATTCTGACAAATTGTATACGTAAATAGTGCGTAGTTCTAAATAAAGCTTTGATACATCGACTCTTTACAACTATTTTAGTACATCGTTGTCACTACATTGTTTTATGTTCCATTGGTTACGAAAATTACATTGGATATAGTCTTCACTTTAAATCGAAGAAGGCATAATAGAATTGCGAACTTTTTCTACAATCGATAGTTCAGAATATAAAACACGAAATTCCATACGGTGATAAACCTAGCTCATACTTTATCTATGACATAACCTTATTTCTATGGAAAAAAGGTTAGTTGATTAATTTAAAAATAGAAACAAAGCTGATCATAGTTAGTGTTAAACATGCCAATAAAATATATTGGTCGAACACATGACTTTAAAGGGAAACCATTATGGGAAATATTGGCAAATTTAAAGAATTTTGGTGTAGATCGAATAGTAATACGAAATAGACAACAAAGATATCCTGAATCATCTTTTATGAAGATTCTCAAAGTTGCTGCATTACCAGATACTTCAAAACATCCACATGTACATTCTTTTCATTGTACATATTTATTAATATATTATTAAAATCAAATCATTAAGTACGTAATTTTGTTAATTCTAGGACCCACGAAAATGTATAGTATTGGTCGAGAAAACTTTTCGAGGTAAAAAGTGTCCCTATATCGTGCAAATGGATGGGTCGACATACAAACCAGATTATATGTTAATTCCTAAGGACCAAGAAGCAAATTATATAAATGCTACTGAACAATTTACAGAAAGAATTATGCCACGTGTAACTGACTTGCCACCTTTACTAAAAGAAATATTGATACGTAATACAAATGAAAAAAAAGATGATCTAAAATTGGAACTAAAATACAGCTTTCTTGGTATGAAAAATTACAGAGTTGCTGAAGAGAATGAAACTCCTACAGTTAATATAGAATCTGGCTTAGGAAAACCAGCAAGTCCTAGTTTGTACATAGATATTAAACAAGAGAATATGTCATGAATATAATTTTATGTATGCATTGGATCTCATACTGTAATAATACAGACTAAATATTCTTCCATTAAGTATCTATGTTCTTTATATTTAAGTCATTAAACGATATTTTTCACAACGAATCAAATTATCATCAATTATCGTATGTTTTATATCATTCTGAATTTGATCTGCAATAATAAATTAAATATATTAATATCATTATTGTCATAAATTCTAAATGAATAACGTACTTGAAAGTCTTTGGGATTGAACAATACATCTCTCCTTTTTATCAAAAATACGTTTAGCTGCAAAATCCTACATTGATATAATATTGCAATATGAATATATATAATATGAATATAATCACAATAAAGTGTAACGATATCATTTTCAATGAAATATATTACAATATGAGAAAATATATTTTAGTATTGTAATTATCAACCTTCCAAAATTGCCTCATTTCTTGGACATCTGAACATTTTCTCACAAGCCAACCACGAACATATCTTTGTATGTATAATGCTGCTTCATCCTCAGACCATAACCAAGACTTTGGATAATAAGGTCTGGGACTAAATGTATTATGAAAAATGCATTGAAATGTCAGGTTTTCAATGTGTTGAAAAGATATCTTTGCTTACTGTAGGCGCAAATATTCTTTAAACGAGGGTATCTCGAATACGTTTAGAGGTGATAAAAATATTTTTGAACGACGTGGATTACGATTCCATAGAATTTCTGCTATATAATCAAGACCGTTGAAACGACATTTCTGAACCTACGAAGGTTCATTAATAACTACTATTTATACACACAAGATTATGGAAACTATTGAGTTTAGAATTTAAATCATTGTTAAATCAAATCTAGACATCGCATAGTACCCGTAGAACATTCTGTTTAGATGCTTCGATAAGTGTCTCTTCCAACGCAGGTACTAACAATCCAAAAATCTTGTTATCAAGATAATTCGAAGGCAGAAGATCATCTTTTTTTTGAATAATGTTTTCCATTTTTTCCACTTCTTTAACATCTGTACTATAGCGGTCACGACAATTTGAGTTACTTGGTGCTACATAAGTAACCGTATTTGACGTCTCGGATATCCCTTTCAGACATCTTGTTGTATAATTATCTTCTGGATGATTTTCTCTTAACGGAATTGAACACATTTGCATCAAAGATTCTTTTCTAGTCGGACATTATATAATGTAACCTAGAGAACAGACAACACGATAATTGAATGCCCGAAAATCATTTGTCAACCTTCAATAACATGGTAGCAACAAAATCGATTCGATCTCGATCGAAAGTCCAATTATGAAAGTTTTGATAAAGCTGCTATAATCTTTAAAACGACTTTTAAAATTAATCTAAATGCCCGAATGTGAACCATGGTGTCCTTTGGTAAAGATTGAGTTAAAAAAAATAGGTATGATACATATTTATTATCCTTTATTCGAGATATCCTTATTTATCTTATTGCTCCAAGATAATTGACAAAGCTTCCAGCCACCGAAGCACCATGGATTTTAAAGAAAGAACTTCCTTCGAATGGTATTCCCCCGACGATCGTCGGTAAAGCTTACGAACCAACATTAAAAATTATCGATGAAAAATCTGTGAGCCCAAAATTGGACATTACACGCGATGATGATTGGGAAAAGACTGGAAAGCAGCCCGACATCCACGATTTGGATCATCGTCGTGTTTCCAAAGAAATTAACGGAAGGCTAGTAGATTCAATAGACATGACTACAGATACTTCTAAAGACGATTTTTCAAAAAGTCAAGCCACGATGATTTCAAAAATCCAAACAGAATCTGCAACACAATGGAGTGTTATCGATAAAGGTAATTGAAGTATGTAATCGAAGAAATATGCAAAATTTACGTTAGTATTTTCTGACGATTATATAACGCAGGACACGATAAAGTAGTCGAAACCGATGATGAACAAGCTATTAAGGTTGCGGAAGATCCGACAACTGAACTTTCAGAACGTGAAAGAGTGGAAGAAATGAAAAAAACTGATGGAGGCCCACTAAAGCATGATGCTGTCGATAAAAAAGATCTTGCAATATTTCGAGAAGAATGTGATCAATCTTGTCCTCGACGTATATCACGAAGCAAGTATATCTTGGTATCTATTGTCATTAATGATGTTAAAGTAATTATTATTATTTTTGTAGAAAATAGAATTCGCAAACTTGAAGAACGACAAAGCGCTATAGATTCTTATTTGCTGAATAAGGGTTCAGGTTATTTCGACGACGTCTGTACTTGTTCACTTTCCTGTATCCTTCGTGCTTTAAAAGATGATTCTTTTGTTAGAAGCATATTAGCATCTGTTGCACTGTTTGCGTTTGGATTGAAACTTTGTTCAGAGTTAAATGCATGGTATTTGCCAATTCGATCTTCATGAAACGAAATCAAAATAATAAATACAAGGAAAAACTTGAACATAATCCACTTTTTAAGTCTTTTTTCTTTAGTAAAATATTTAATTCCGTATAAACTTAAATATATGCATTTCTCGCATAGTGGTTTTATCGAAAATGTGTTCATATCAATCAATGACGTTCAATAAATTTATAAGGAAGCAATAATTTAATAACAAAAAAACTGCTCCAGGTGAGGCTCGAACTCACAACCCCGGCATTGCTCACGCTTCACTGTCTTATAAGTACCGTGCGCTAACCAATTGCGCCACTGGAGCTGTTGGAAACATATTTCTCCAAAAACAGTTTTCAAGAATTTGGTTATTGAATTAAAAAAAATATACATTTTAAAGAATTCTGTATATTTAACCATAATCTATTACTTATAATACAGTGTCGGGAAAAAAAGTTCAATGATAAAATATGTTGTCCTTACAAAAGTAAGGATGTTTTATAATCGAAAGCACTGATAAACAATATTTGGACATCATGGATGCATAATACAATAACTACTAATAACACTTTAAATATTATATCAAAAATTGAAAAAAAAGACAGAGAAAGTTTAGTTATTATAAAAAGATTGAAACTTTTATGTCGCAATAAAATAAAATGCAAGTACTCTGATATCGTTAAATATATTCAACAAATTAAATTCTTTCTATTTATTTCATATATCCATAAATTTTAATCATATGTGTTATGTGTGCGTGTGTGTGCATATGTCACATTAATTGTACACATATGTGTACATATGTACATATATATAATATTTAAATTTAATTTATATATATATATATCGAATTATTGTAATTCGTTATATAGAAGAAATATTTACATAATATGTTACCATGTGCATATCAGTATTTTCATTCCAGTACAGTCCAATACAAGTTAGTACGAGTTTACAGTACAGACAGTACAAGATAATTTTACACTTAATTTTTTAATTCTTCATAATTCATCAGTTTCATATGTTGTAAAAAATTTTTAAAACGTCATGCGAATAAGTAAGTACATACACGTAAATAAATAAAGTGTTATTTTCTTTTTGTGATCAAATCGTTCTGTCATTGACAATGATTAAATATGTTTTGTTTATGTAAATAACAATAATATTTTGATGTTAATAACTTTAACTTAATTTTAAATATAATATACATTCAAATATACGAAATTATAGAAAGCCAAGTTTTTTTTGGTATTTCTATCGTTATAGTAAATGGATGATACGAAAATGCAATCAGTAGTCTTCTGTCATATTTTATAGCAATAGTTGTTTGTTCGCTTTTTTTTCCAATTTTTTTGTAATTAATTATGCTTAGATTTTGGAGTTCTTAAAGATTAAACAAAATAATATTAAATGTAATGTATAAACACTGTCATGCATATCTTAACCTCTAATTATTGCAGTGCCATTTTTTTTTCATTAGTAAAATTAATTTTTCGTCCAGTTTTAATGCAATATAGTCATTGGTTGTCAAAAAAATTTGATTCTATTATTAATTTTTATTTTTATCCATAATCACTTTATTTTTAGATATAATAAAGAATGAGTTGGTTTGATGCCACTGGATTTGCCAATTTGGCTAAATCTGCTTTAAAAGAAGCTCAAAAGACAATCGATAAGGCATTAGATATTAAAGATGAAGATCAAAAACCATTAGAAAGTCATACAGAGGATACAACAGATTTTTTTGCATCATGGGGATTAAAAAGTGATATACATTATGATGCACATCAGCATCGTGCTAAATGTAAAGAGTCTAAACAAGAGGCAACAAGTAGTATATGGGGTAGCTTCACTGGATCATTCTTTGAATCAAGCAAATCTAATGAAGCAGAACATAATGTAAAAACTATTACCCGTTCCAAATCTTTACAAAGCACACCTACTGAAAGTGGACAAAAACTTGTATCTTCATCATCATTTTCAGAAGATTATAAAGATAAAATTTTAACTCCCAAAAAGAAATCCAAACAAACAGAAGATTGCAAAGAACAGAATATTTATGATCATATTCAGAATGTTCCAAATCAAGATATGGCTGATACATTTAATTCTAGTGACTTGAAAAAACTAATTTCATCTGAAATAATTGATACAAGTACAATTTCCAAAATTGAAGATGATAATATTAATGATTGTTCAAAAAGTAATATAAGGAGTCCTAAGATAATTGAATATTCTTCAGAAAATATTGATGCCAAAGAGGAAAGTGAAAAGACAGAATCTGAAAATAAAGAATCTTGTGACCATGATGCAGATTCTATTGCTTCTATCTCACACAGATTATCCTGTGCATCTCCAGAGAATGATAAAAAGAGTTTAGAGAGTATTGAAATTCTTGGTTCTCGATCTAATACAGAGTGTACTACAACTCCTGAATCAGATGCCAGTTCTGTTAGTAATCTAGCAAGTCCTGCTATGGGTACCAAAGTTAATTCTGAGTCTGTAGAAGTATTACCAGACAGTTTAGTTACATCTCCAAGTTCTGTGGAAGTATTAGGAGATTGGAAAAGCGATACCAGTCCTTATTTATCTCCAATAGATCAAAGACATTCGGATTCATCATCTGTTTTAGACAGGGATGAGTCAGTGACTCCTTGTTGGGATGATATCAATGTTCCACAGATTATAAATAAAGAAAATTTGATAAATCCATCATCTTCAGATATTTCTCCATATGAATCTCCAATGGAGGAAGCCAAAACATTACATGAAAATTTATGTACAAACAGCATGGATAATACACCACTGACAGGGACATATATAGCTATGGGATCACATTTATACAAAAATTTATCTAGTGGGCATTCAATGAAAGCTTCACCAGAAGGGATAGAAGTAGTACCTTACAATGATGAGATAGATGAAGTGAGTTTTGCAGAAGATTCTTATACTTCTGCATCAGAAAGTACAGTCATGACCATATTAGAGACACTTCAACAAAAAGAGCAAGCAAAGAGTAAAACAGAAATCCTTATTAATGCTTCATCAACTGATGAAAAAATGCATGATTCATGTTTAGATAATAAAATAATAATGAAAAAAGCTAGCGCAGATGCAAGACTGAATTTGAGTCTAGATTCTTTAAGTGAAAAGCATAACTTGCATTTGCCGATTGAAGCAATTACAACGCAACCAATCCGTAAGCTAGAATATTTTGATGGAACCGGTAAAATATCCGAACCCGATCGAAAAAGTTTCGATCGATTAATAAATTCCACTATAGAACCTGCAAAAACAGAATGTTATTCTGTCAACGAAGTTACGCATCCGTTTAAAACAGAGATAGCAGAAATTTCAGATCAGCACCTGATTTCAACAGACTCAAGTTGTGAAGGAACCTTAATAGAGAGTTCGGAAGGCAATCCACAGTTAATTCATAAATCGGACGAGAAAGTGTTACAAGTACCTCTAAATTCTAGTTCCTATGTAAAAACAATGTTAGAAGATGCAATGATTGATAAGGCTGGTAAGATTATTGAATCAGAAGTTCAAGGTACAGAAATGCCTCGAGAAAATTCACCTATTTCATCAGAGAGGTATTATATTTGATGGAAAATCATTAGACAAAAATTATAATTAATTGTAGGATATAAATTTAATTTCATTTATTATAGTCGGTCTGATCTAGTTAAAATTGGCTCGGATCAAACAAGTGGGCACACTAGTGGGGATGAATTAGAAACCACTACTTCCAGCGATATTGAAATCATATCCAGGTATAGATATGACTATAAAATAGCAATTATGTACACATACACATAATGTATAATATACACTTTTTGATTATAAATAATTTTTTCTGAGTCTAATAGCAAATTCTTTTTTTTATTAAAAAAAAAGTCCAAATGGTGATTCAAGTTCAACGCAATCACGACAAAATTTAGCCAAGTTGCAATCAACAAAAGGTGGTGATCTTTTATTGAGAACATTAAAAACTAAAGGACATTCAAGGGAACTAAGTGAAATTAGTGTAGGATCTGATGAAGCTAATGTTGAAATAGAAAAATTACTGAAACGTATACAAGAGATGACAGAAATTTTAGAAGCTAGAGAATCTAAACTTATTGATGTTAGTAGAATAAATATGGAATTACATGAACAAAATAACAGTTTGAAGAAGTATGTGATAATCAAATAGTTTGTAGTTGGGTTTTTATTTCCTTCGATATATTATTAAATGTTATTTTTTTATATCTATTTTTTATATAGGCAACTTGATAATTTTGAAAAACATGCAGAACAAAGTCAAAACTTAAATCAAATTACTGATGAATATACACAACGACTGTCTGCCTTGGAAAGAAAATTTCAACAAGCGATACGAGATCGGGATTCGTTAAGAAAAAATTTGGAGCAGTTGAAAGTTGAAGCGGCTACACGTTTATCATCTCAAGAGCTATCTACTCTAAATGCTGAGAAAGAAGAAATTATTAAGGAACTTAGAGAAGAGGGAGAAAAATTGAGTAAACAACAACTTCAACACAGTAACATTATTAAAAAATTGCGAGTTAAGGAAAAAGAAAATGATGCTTTAATAAAAAGTCAAAAGTACGTAAATAACATCCGTTCTTCTTTTTATTTTCTCTCATAATAAAAATGAAAGAGTAAATAAAAGTTGATAACAAATCTAGTTAGAAGATAATATTACAACACAAGACATTTACAGAGAACAAATAGAAGAACAAACATCAGAATTAGAACGTTTGAAAAGGTCATTGCGAGCAAAAGAAGAAGTTGAATTATCTCAGATAGATGCTGTTTATTCATTAACAGCGCGAACAAAAGCTCTAGAAAAGGAAGTAGCAGCGTTACAAAAACAATTAGAAAATACAGTACATAATGCGGATACATATAAAAAAAATTTGGATTCCACAAGGATGTTAGTAATATAATTAGTTTTTACTAAAAAATTATAATCAAGTATAAGTACTATGTTACTATCTTTCAGAGAACTATCTGAAACGAAGAAAATTTTGTCTACGACTGAGGTACAATTGAAAGAAGCAACAACTAACGCTGGAGAATCGTGTCAATTACTAGCGCAAGTAGAAGAACTGAAAATCAAATTAAGAGAATCTGAAGAAATGCATGTCAAGTAAATATTCTCTCAAGAGACATAATCTTTCAACTGTTATTAATTTAAAATGATTTTTAAAACCTTTTTTTCTCTGTTTCTATGTGCTATATAGAAAAGAAGAGTTTTTAAAACTCGAAAATAATGAATTACTAAAACGCTTAGAAGCCGCTGAAGCCAGAAGTGAAGAACTATCAGAATCTGTATCAATGGCTACAAAACCATTATTGAGACAATTGGAACAACTTCAAGCAAATTTATTACATAAAACTAATAGCTTTATGAAGCAAGAGAAAATACTATCAGACAAAAATATTGAGCTGCAAACAAAAGTCGAAAATTTACTAGAAACAGATCGGTACCTAAAGGAAGAGAATGTTAATTTGAAATCTAAAATATCTCAGTTAGAAGCTAAGCTTGCTACTAAAGAAAATGAAAGAATGAGGTTACAAGAGTTATATGATGAATTGGTAATACAAAAAGAAAAATTTGCTGAACAAAATATGCGGTAAGAAAAATTAATAATCTTCGATTTTGAAAAATTTTATCTAGGTGGAAAAATAAATGGGAACCCAGTTATTTTCAGGCAGCGACAAACGATAGAAACACTTGAACAATCTCATTCTTCAGAAATAATGGAATTGAAAAGAGAAATTATTGCGTTGGAGAATAAGCTGTCTGTAGAAAAAGCAGCCACAAATGCAGAAAGGAGAAAAAATCATGCAATGTCAGAGCAGCAACAAAATATCGAAGACAATAAACGTCTTAGTCCTAGCATTAGTACAGAACAAGATTCTGTAAACGCTGTAGATATTATTTGGCCGGTAATAGGAAGTGATTATCATTCTTTTTTTTTTGTCATTAAAGGGTATAAATTAAAAGATTTTACTTTCCTATTTCAGTTATATAATTCTACTACTGATACTAAGCCCGAATGTTATACAGTGGCATTCGATAGTATTAGAGCAGGATCTAGTAGTACTTCTATATTTGAGAATTTACAAGCTCAGTTAAAACAGAAGGACGGTATGTACTTAAATATTTATCAATAATAAATTACATTTTGTTTTAACGATTTGATAATATTAATTATTTATTTGAGGTTTTAGGTGAAATACAACAACTTCAGTGGGAATTATCGCGTCGTAATATAGAAAGAGATGTGCTAAATTCAGAATTATCTACATTAACTTTGAAAATTGAAGAATTAAATGTTAAAGTTATGAATGTTGCTGTTTTAAACGAAAGTTTGCAAGAAATACAAACTAGATATGATGCATTGTTACAAATGTATGGTGAAAAAATGGAAGAGAATCAAGAATTGCGTTTAGATCTCCAAGATGTCAAAGAAATGTACAAAACACAAATTGATCAACTTCTAAAACGAGATACTTGAAATTCTTTTTTGGATAAAACTTATTTATTAATTAATTCAATACAATAGATGTAGAACCATGAAAAAATTAACAATTTATAAAAATATAAATTCGATCATAGGTTTTTCAATGATGCTATACTGTGTTATTGCAACGAAGTTGTTGAAATTGTTTAAACAAGCTAATGGATAGTAAATGAAAGAGACTGATGTGAAATAATATTAATTGAAGAGTTTAAAGTTTCAGATTTAATGAATTAACAAAATGAAATTTTGTCTATACATATTTTGTAGGAAATGCTTTTAGAAAATTCTAGAGTTTTGTTTTGCTAAATTCGCAAATAATTCATTGCCCTTGAATTTGGATAATTAGTAATCACGTTAGTTCACAAACTAACATTTAATTACATGTAAAATTGCAAAGTATACACTGTAAAATTTTATTTGTATTGTGCATACATTCGTGCATACACATACACTGTATACAAATAGTTTAAGATAAACAACGTGATATGAAATGTAATATAACTTTAAAGTTTTCGATATTGTAATATAGGATTGAATTACAATGTAATATATTAAAAAAAAATTGATCATTTATTAAAAGTTGTATTTTTTGAGATTCCTTTATATAATAATAATTTACAAAAAGAGAATTATACTTTTGAATAAAAGTATACAATGTTAATTTGAAGAAAAACGAGCTGATGTAGAAAATTGAGAAGAATTTCTCGGAGAAAGGGTCAAACATGACGATAATCTGAAAAATAGAGTAGGAGAACTACAGTGTACATTAAACAGAGGTCTAAAGAAAATGAATAGTAGACATGATTGTTTCTCAAAAGTATAATTAAACCGAAGGGAATACATCTTTTTCATAATTTTTATACATACCGTAAACTTTACTGGTTATAAAGTGCGACCTTCTCTCCCTTCCCCTTTCTCTTAGAAAAAAAAGAAAAAAGAAAAAAAGAGAAAACCGATCAAGCAACACTATTAATCGTCGTACGTTTATATGTGTATCTTTAATGTGAAAAGGAACAAATTTTTTTCATGCACATTTACAGTATTACTTCTTCCCGACGTTTTGTTGTCTTTATGAGTTATTATAGACTGACGATTGATCATAACGATTGTTATATAATACTTGTTTAAACAAACTTACAGAATTTGACTGTTAAATTGTACCAAATACAAAAAATAATACTTACGATAAATTACATGTGACCCCTCTATAGTTTCGACAATTATCGATTGAAATTTTGGAAAAACATGTACTCCCACTTTAGGAAAAAAAAAAAAAAATAAGAGCTCTATCATGATGATTTACATTAATATCGAGTAGCGAATACGAACACGTAAAACACGTTTTATTTTTCATATAGTATCTCGATAATGAATCTTGATTTCTTTATACGCGACTCGACAGTGACATATCGTTCTTGGTCCCGTTTTAAATTTCTAAATGAATCTTTGATCATTCACAAACATTATATATGTCCTTTCGATATTAATTTACAACTATAGAATTCAACCAATCAGTATACTAAAATAAAGAAATGATAGGTAAGTCATTAAAAAAGGGCTCTTATTCCAAACAAATGTCTGTGGCAGTTAACGTGTCACCATCGACGCGTTAATCGTCATCGAGCTCCTCCTGATCATTATCAAAACTTTCTGCTGTTTTTTATTATTTCAAAGATGTGACAGATTCTATGCTTTTCCCAAATCTAACATCGACATTTAAGCACACAAACAATATAAGTGACAAAATTGCTGATTGATTTAATTGTACGTCGGTGTATATTTTTCTACCTTGAAATTTGAACCTGCTTGTCGAAGCATTCTCTGTTGTTTTGAGTTTCTTTTAATTCTACCTTTTTTCCTTTTTGTTTCTCCACTATTGTACGTCAACCCACTGTGACCGGACAAATTGCTTTACGATGAAAGGTAGGTAAAAGTTATATAAACGGAAAATATATAAGAAGAAACCTTGGTAGATCGCACGGTACACATTGTTAATGAGAGATTTCTGAGATAATCATAGAATCGGTGCCAGAATCGAAGTTCGATCATGGATCGCGCAGGAATTTCTTTGTATGCAAGTTCGCATTGCCGAACTTAAACGGCATCCTTACGGACATGAACTTTCTCTTCCAGGTGACAACGAAGATGTACTTCACACCTGGTCGGACAGAGAGCTAGCCCCGTCGAGCACAGAGCGAAGAACGGTACGAACTCGAGTACCGAGTGTGTAACGAGCATTAAACCATCGACGCGACTGCGTCAATCTTTTTTCGTTCAAACCCATGGTGTCCAACCCTCGTACAAAAGGGCTAAATTGTCAGTGCTTTGAGCTTCGCGTATCACATATTCCACTTGTTCAGCCGTTGTATACTTCCTTGTTGGTTGAGGATCGCATCCTTCTAGCTTCATTCGTACACGATGCCAAACATTTAACGCATACGCGTTCCGCTCCTGAACAGCTGTAAGAAAAATACAAATATGCTGTGTATTGTGTGTGATAAAGAGAGAGAGAGAGAGAGAGGGGGGGGGAAGAGAAGAAAAGAGAAGAGAAGAGAAGAGAAGAAAAGAGAAGAGAAGAGAAGAGAAGAGAAGAGAAGAGAAGAAAAGAGAAGAGAAGAGAATTTACATAATCTTGTGAAAATCAATGATTAAACTAAACTCACCTTTGCCTGTAGTTGGATCTCTGGTCGGTGGAATTCCTTTTCTTGGACTGTAACACACACCCTCTTGCCTCATTAATTTTCCTTTTTTCTTTATCGAGCTGACTATCGAAGTTTCGGTTTCACTTTCTCTTTCTCGTTCTTTCTCTTTTTCCTTATCTATCTCTTTTTGTTTCTCAGACATCTTTACTGAATTCATTTTCTTTTCATTGGCAAACTCTAACAACTCATTATACAAATTTGGTGCTACAGTCGCCATATTTTCCAATTCTTCATTAATCGTTATTCCTCTATTTGCATCTAAATTATCAGATTCAAGTTCCTTTACAATCGCCGATATGCTTTCAGTGAAAGACCGATACGAAGAAAGAAACTCTTGTAGGCCATCAATGTTCTCTTGTTTCACCATAGTTCGTAATAAAATTCGAACATCTGACATCAATCTATAATGTTCGGTTAACACACTTTGCAAGTTTGATACTTGTTCTCTTAAACGTTCTTGAGCAGAAAGCAAACTTTCTTGTTTTTCCTGCAATTTCTTTTGAACATCTAATATTGCTTCAGAGATAAATCTCTCAGCCTGTTTTAGCCAATTTATATCGACATTGCTTTCCATATGTAACAATTCAACTAGGCTCTCTTCAATCGCGGTTACAGTTATATTTAGATTTATCGTCAGGATACAACTCTCTTCCCAATGCTTAATCAATTTAACAAAATTTGTATCATGTGTCATACTTTCAGATGTTCTGGTTCTTAAAGCCTCGTAATGTAAGATAGAGTTACAGGTATTGATAACACTAGTCGCAAGATTATGCTGCCGAGTTAACTTTTCGCAAGATGAGAGTACCGCATTATCAAATGCGGACATAACTTCTCCAAGAGCAGGATTCGCTCCGGCAGCCCATTTCAATCGTTGTACTGCACTGGAAACAAGATTTTGTTGTTGCTCTCGAGCTTCACATACTCGAGATTGTAAAGTAGAGAGTGCTGCTGCCGTTTTTCGGAGTTCTAACATAAATACAGAACGATCTGAAAAAAATAAGAATATAAATATTTAAACACAAAGTTGCACAAATTTAACAAAAAGAAAGAAATCTAGAAATAATGAACTTACTCAAAGGATTCATTACATTAACATTTGACCTTATCAAAAAACTGTCTTCATGTAACCAGTGATGAGCTGTTAGTTGTAGTTGAAGTCTTTGCATGCTAGCTCTAGCTACCTCGGTACATTGTTGTGCAAATCTTGTACTCTGCTTTCTTCGCCAAGCGCTTTCGAGAGTACTACTAAGTGCACTGGCTTGAGCAAGAACAGATCCAGAAAAAAGACCTCTCTTTAAACAGAGATCAACAACCTTTCTACACAATTCTTCTATTGAAACTTTACTCTCAGCTCCAATATCTCTTTGTTCGATTTCAGTAGTAACGCTTAATCCCATTCTCTGTAGTAAAAAGCATAATGCAATAGCTAATGTTTGGGAAGTAACACCGAGTAATTGTCTTGACACATAATCCGCTGTAAAGATTCTTATTGGTTTGTTAAGTCTCTCGTCATCGTAAATGTTTGCTAACCCGCCCTTGAATGCAGTTGCAATATCTCTGCACATCATAAAAAATTCTTGTATGGTGTGTAAACGTTTAACTAAAAATATATCCTCTAAAACTTGACAAGCTGTTTTATTAAATATAGGAGCAGACATTTCTTTGGCTTCTCGAATCTGATCGATTTTTCTCCAGGATGGTGGAATATCGAGTGTACTTAAAGTAGCAATCAGAGCGTTACCTTCCATTTGTAGTTTTTCAAACAAACCATTGAACCCCATTAAAAGCATTTGGCCAGGAGTCAATGTCTCGTCTTGATTTGGTTCCTGAATTTCGGCAGGTCGAGACAACAATGCTTCAAATCTTAACCTCATATTATTAACAATGCTTTGTATCATCGCATGTGGGCTTTCCATCTCCATAACAGTAAATCTGAGATGCATTTCCAACTGACCTAAGATATCACCGAGTGGTATACCCGATAATACAATTATTTCGGTTAATTCTCCTATCATCCTAATCACAGTTGGCTCCTCTGTTATGATCGTTTTCATCGCTTCAGGCAAAATAATGGTGTGGAAATTATAATTAAGCTCTTGCAATCCTTTATAAATACTATCAGATCCTCTTAAACATTTTAATATAACAGATATCTTGTGATCATTGTTTGTTTTATGGCATTCGGGTATCAGGCTAACTAATTCAGCAATTAATGATGACATCAAACGCATTTCATCTAAAAACCAGTCTCCTTCCCTAGAAGTAAGATCAACTAAACAGTCTCCTGCACATTTGGCAGCACCTTCCATCATCAAATATCTTTTATTCAAAGCACAAAGTGCCGTTATGTTAACACACTCAAGTGCTTTTTCTGCTCCTTTTTCTCGTCTCAGAAAGCTTTGTATTTGTACTCTCGATTCTCCATATGTTTTTTCTATTCTAATTAGAGATTCCGGTAAACCTTCTGAAACCATTCTTTCATATGCTTTCTTTAATCTCTCGTTAGCTTCGTTCAAAATCGTTTGCATCTGATAAGAAAATGTTATTATCTGTTGAACTTGCTGATTATTGGAGCTTTTGATTGGATCAAAGGTGTTCTCAAATTGCATCATAACTTCGCGACAAGTTTCGACGCTTCCAGTGTTCAAGAGCTTATTAGCCCAGCCATGATAAAGCACTGTACGATGTTGTGACATATTACTTAGAGGATAAAGGCTGCAAATCGCCGAATATTGACTCAATAAATCCAAACAATTGCGTATTAGAATAGATTGTTGTGTAGCTAATTGAGTCAATTCATTTTCTGATTGTTCACATTGAACAATCATTTGACTTTGACCAGCATTCTGTAAAAATTCTTTGACGAGATCAAAAACTACATGATCCTCTTGATTTGTAGAAGTTCCTAATTCTGTCAACCATTGACCTAATTGCGGACCCCGTACAGCTGTAAGTGCCATCTAAAATGGTGAAATAACAGTAAATTTTTCCAAGTTAAAACAAATAAGTAAACAAACAACAAATAAAACTGACATTATGCATGTTGATTTGTTTTTCACAATCTTCGATTTTTTCTTTTAATCCAGCTTTTGCTTTCTCATGAGCATCTCGTGCTCTTTTAAAAGAATTGTAACGCTTTATTACAGAATATAATGGATGATTACGTCCCATTGCTTGTGCTTCCTTAACTAAAGCAAGTTGTTGATGTCTATCTTGTAATAAGTCTTGACATTGACGTGTGATATCTGTTGCTTCCACCCAACAATTCAAATGATGGCACAATAATGGAAAAATTTTCATCAACTCATCTCTAAGAATCAAAAAATTCAATTCAATTATAGATTATTTACCATAAAGAATGCAAGAATAAAATTTGATTGTTGATTTACTCACCTGTTTGCTAACCATTCAGCACGCATTTCTGCCGTTCGAACAGCAAACATTGCTCGTGTCAGTTCCTGTTCCAATTGCTTCCTTTCAATTCCATAACTCGCGATACTATTATCTGCGCCAGTTCGCCAATCGACTAGCGGATCGTATATAAACGCTTCGAGCAAAGTCAATAAAGTTTCTCGCCCTCGGCGCATTACTCGAAGTGTATGTTCGCAAGCTAAACGAAATATACCCTCGACTCCGGTTACTCCTAGCGCTGTTCTGATGTTTGGAGTCATTCTAAATGGCACTTTTTCTGGAACGCGTAAAGTTTTGCCTTTCTCAAAGCAAACATTGTAGTCAATATGAACAACCTCGCCTGTATTTAGATCAACTAGCACATTATCCAAATGTCTATCACCGAGCCCAATAATATAACCGATAATAGACATCACGGCTACCGAATAAGAATAATTTTTCGTCGCTTGCCACCAACTTCCAGCATTTATACTATTACACCAAATTTCTTTTGCTAATAAGTCTTTGGGCGTCTCAGCCATTAATTCTGCTAAAACTTGTTTCAATACTTGGATAGGCCATTCTTTCCTGTTTTCCAAACCTATTCCTCGCTCTTTCAAAAGCGGAGTTAATTTATTATAAAATAGCTCAGAAGGTCTTAATATTGCCGAACTACCAGTTTTATTAAGCATTGCGCTTTCTCTCTGTTGCCATCTTTTATACAAAATGAATAAGGGTGTCACGCCATCGACCCACTGTATTAAACCACATCGTGAACCTAATGGTATAACTGAATAATGACGCGCTCTATAAACTTTTTTCGAATCACCTTTCTTTAACATCATTGTGTTACATATATTTAAGAATTGCATAATTCTTTCATCCAAATGAAGATCTTCCAAACCTTTAAATAAATAAGTGTAAACATGTCCATCAGAACCATGGAACATGAGCTTCTTAGGTTTTGTCTTACTTGGTAATATTTGAACATTATTATCTACAGATTCTATAGTAACTATTTTATTATCATTTGCAGCAACACCTGGCATGGCAATACATGTATTTCGCAAATTAGCTAACACTGGACTGATATCATTCATAGAAAGGGAATATGCAGCTCGTCTGTGCACCCGCTGAGCTAATTTACCTTCCAGTTGTTTTAAACACATATTTGCTATTTGTGGCTTTGCAGGATTCTTAGGATTGTTTAATTTACTAATCGCTTCTTCTATTAAAGGTCCAAATTTCTCCTGAAAATTTTCCTCATGTGGTGTTTCGGCTGGAACAGAAATTATAGACAAAAGGTTTTCTAATATGAAAACTATTGGTTTCAATATAATTCGATGCTTTTCTGCAATCAACTTATCCTTTTCTTCAATATTTAACCAAGCATTATCTTGTACTTTTTGCACTTCCATTTCTAATTGTTCAAATCGCTTAGAAATTTCAGTATGATGCTGACATAAAGTTGTCAACCATAACTCATCCCAGAGTAATGTAATCCTATGCAACTCGTAAACGAGTAATTGCACTTGTTCGATAGAATCCTGAATTTTGTTTGACAGACAACCTACCAATTGCAAAAAAAAACAGTCTATGAATTTTTCTTGTTTATTTTGGTAAGCTGTAGCAGGACTTTCAACACGTATCTCTTCTTCTTCGATAAGATCTAAATCGTTCTGCGACAAATCAGTTTCCGCTTTCTCATAAAGAACTTTATCAGAAGTTTTCTTTTGAACAAGCCACCCATAAAACCGTGAAAACCAAGAAACCGCTCCAACCACAGCTGGAAATGTGATCAAATGTGGAGAATTCTCTGCAACTCTACACAACAATTCAGACACTCGAGTCCGAACGTAAGACTCGGGATGACTGAGTCTCGAAAACAGTTGTGGTATTATCTCCTTCCATGGAGCAGTAGGAGTCGAAGAAAGTCCAGACTCTAAAACATTTTGTAATTCGAGAGCGTGTTTTACGACCAGTCGTAGTAATCTGAGAGTAGCTGTGATAGTAGCACAATCGTTAGCTTCTTTAATTGCGGCAAGTTGCAAGTACTTGAAGTATGCGTTCGCGGAAAGCTCATAATATGAGTAAATCCTTTTCTGTGCTTGTCTCCAAATATCGATCAGCATTGCGATATGGTCGGCACTGGCACGACTTAATATTGAAACGCTACGTAATTGATTCTCTATCATATCTGAGGTATTAATATTATTGGAAGTGTCCGTTATTTCACCTTCGTCTTCAGGAATTGCTTTGCTTTGAGACAAAATCGAAAAAATAGTATTCAAGTCAGATCCACTTGTATCAAATGGTAGTAAATCTCTAATGGTTGCTCTATCTGCATCAGTCAATTGTCCTGAATTAGAATTATCCACGATCTTTCTTCCCCATTTATAACACCAACTTGCGAAGCTACACCATGCAAGCGGTAAATCTGGGCATTGATTTACACCAAGTTGTGTTAATCTACCGATTATCATATCTGAAACAGGTATTGAACTCGCAGTTGGTCCGAATAGCTTGTTCATCAAGCCATCGTTATGAGCAGCTTCGAATTCGAGTAATTTTTCCAACTGGCCATTTTCGATGCTGCCAGCTTCTTGTTGTATCCATTTACCAAGAGTTAGAAGAAGAATTGTTCCGTTTTCACGTAAGTCAGTCGACTGTTCTCCATCAACGATAGTTCGAGATATTCCAAGCGCAGTTGCACTACACACTTTCAATGCTTTATTGACTTGTTCCATATCATATAACAACTTTGAAAATTCACGAAATGCGCGTATATTATTCTTCGACCATTTTACATGCATTACGTTCTTCAGAACATCATCAGTTGCTTGGTCGAAATCAGGATTAATATAATTTCGTTCACCTCCATCAAATCGACAAAGTTCTCGTTCAGATCTTAAATAATTAAGAAGTTCGCGTTTTGCTAACTCGAAATTACCTTCTTTTCTAGCAGTTCGGACAATATGTAATCGTAAATCAGCAACTTCATCGTTATCTAATCGTATTTCAAGACTGTTGTTCTTCCTTGCTCTGCCGAAATAGTCTGACCACCACAAAGTTCGTGTTAACACATTTGAATCCATATGATCAAGTTTTTCGCTCTTATACAATTCGTAAACGTTTTCTTCTTTACCAGATAGAATACCTTTTAATCCATCTGCTGAAAATCGTACTAATATAGATTCGTTTAAACATTCTGAAGGTACATTTCTTAGACCTTCTTCCATAGTTTTAGCTGCCACTCGCCGACATCGTTCAATTTCTTCCTCAAAATGATCTTTATAATCGTTTATATGAATCCTAAGTGCAATATTGGTTAATGTATTACCACATTCGACCAATGTTTTTGTACAACTCCAATTTCCTGTTTTGCTGATTCCACTATCCAACAGATTCCAATCACTTAGATCATCTAGACATATGCTTTCACCACCTTCAAATTTTTTTAAACATTTTGCTTTTTGACAAGAGGCGCTATTTTCCATTAATAATTGTTTTTTGAAAACATTTTTATCTCGCACAAAAATCTCGGCCTCTTGCTGTTTCCAAGCCTCTAATCGAGACCAATCACTAACGGCTTCATAACAATGACATAATCGTTGCATACAAAAACTGAGTACTTGATTATCTCCTTCAGATTTAAAACACTTGCTTTTTCCATCAGAGACAACTTCCTCACTTCCGCTAGTGCCATCAATACAAGCCACATTACTGCCATCGGCAACATCATCTCCCTCTTCTTCTTGCTCTATATCTTTCCCACATCGACTATTTGCAACACGCATATATTCCTCGATAATCGATTTATATGCTTCGGTAGCAGATTCATAGCGATTTGCAGCTTCCTCCATAGCAGCTTTCAACCACGGAAATTTTCTTTCTTTTTCCTTCGTATAAACATATAATCCCTGTAACGCTTCCGCTTCTCCTAGCATTACCATAGCTTGTGCTGTACAGAGAGTAGCTCTTTCAAATTCAATACCTTGTGTATTATCACTGCTACTTAAGTCGTCTAATAATCTCTGACTATTTCTCAAAGCACTGCTAGCTAGTCCAGAATGTAATGACACTACACATAATGCCAGTCTAATACGATTCAACCATTCTTTACAAGTTGATTTATTAGTATGAAAAAAAGTTCTAACTGGTTTTGATAATGGTAATAAAGCAATTGCACAACCTTCTGCCGCATTATGTATTACTCTTTCAAGATGTTCGAGAAATTCAATAAATAATCGCACACGCGTATGTTCGCTTAGTAAATGATCCAAATTTCGTTTTTCTTTTTTTGTTGCATCATAGCTATATGATATTTCGCGTGCTAATGTTTTCAGAGCACTTTCAATCGATGTAAATGTTTCTTGTGGTTTTCCTAATGAAGTACGAAGCTTATTCGTCACACAATGTTGAGCTGCTTCAAAACCAGCCCAAAAATACAAAAAGGATCGATTTGTTAATGCTAAACGATACATTTTCTTAGTAGTTTCACTTTCAGATCTATAAATACAAATAAAATCGTACAATTTTCTAATTACCACAACTAAAATAAATAATTCAATATTTATCTTTTACTTACACGATTGGCCAACATAAAGTAAATATTTCTGATAATTCAGATGCATCCAAGTATTGCTCTTGCAACAAAAATGCCATATAAGTTTTGAAATGTTGTGTTTGCATTTCTCCATTATTCGTTCCTCGCATATGTAATCTTTGAGCAAAGATTAAAGATTCGGTTGAGTAATTTTTAATTCCCTGATATTTCTATAAGAGAAAAGATTTAAATAAATCACTTTCTTTTTTCAAAGTATATACGAACGTACCTTTGTTTCTGATAACAAGTACTCTCTATTTAGTTTTGGTATTACTATATTTAAAGGCATTTGTGTTAATAATGAACCATACTTTTCCCGTACAATTTCATCTCGCGAAGTTAAATGTAACATCACCAAGTCCACAACAGACGCATACATTTCTTCTTTCCAAGTGACATTCTTTGCACTCATCAAAATTTCGAAGAGATTGCAAATGGCAATAGAAATATCGCGATCAATAGTAGCTCCACAAGCAATCAAGCTAGTAAGAACGTTTTCGTACTCTTTTGTTTTACTTAAAATACCGATGTAGTTTTCTGCCTGTATACAAATTTCTTGCATCCACGTTGATAGAAGCAATAACGTTTGCTCCTGCGTGTATTCATTGTAACTTTTAGCTATCAAGTTTAGAATTATAGAGAGATGACCACTAGTAGGTGATGTAGTTGGAACATCTAGTGCTCCTGGAAACATATCTATTGGACGACAAGTAGTAGTTCCAGTTATTAAACTTGAACTTGGCACAAAATGATTATACCTGAAATGAAAATAATGATACAATCACAATAGCTAAATTAGCATCTCCTAGATGCCCTCCTTTTTTACATCTTACCTAGAACAATGCGCGTATAGTAAATACAAAATACTATATTGCAAAATCGGACTAGTTGATGATAAACTGTTGTCATAAGGTTTTAACTTGACTGCTAGCAGTTCCAAAATGCTCGGTTTTAATGCCCACATACCAATAATTGAATTGCTTGCATTCGCTAGAAACAGTAAAATAAAAAAAAATTACTTTCAGTCAATAAATCCAATTTTTTTTTCATCGAAATAATAATTACACCGAAATTTCATTTTACAATGCATTTATGTATTTACCTATATCAGAAAGAGCTCTCAGCAAAAAAGTAACTACAATTTCTGCATCAGTTTTTTTATAATTAATACCATCGAGTAATGGATTATCTGCTACTAAACTTTCAATATCTGTTAAAATAAGCTTATAAGCAATCTCCAAATCCGACAGTATGTAGCGGTAGGATTCTTGTAATAATGGAATATTTTTAAGGCTGAGAAGACTATGATATACTCCGAGACTAGCGTTTTGAATAGAAATCGAATCCCAGAATCTCAATTTAAGTAACGCGGAGTCCTTTCCAAGTAATTTGTGTACCAATTCCAGTGGCAAGTTTGCAGACACTTCTTTTATTATTTTTGATATAGTATTCAACATAGAAATTATTGTATCATCCCAAAAAATATTGATTCTTTTTAATTGAAGATCAATGAACTTATAAAGTAACTCGTGATTCTTTGTTATACGACTCTGAAGATGACCTAACAATAAAAATGTGCATTCATTTGCAACAACAATCAATTCCTCTTTTTCCTCAGTTAGATCTAAATCTTTCTTGGTTTTTAGTTCCATCCATCGTATAATATTTAACAATGGTTCTTTCTCTTTTAACGAAGTTTCTTTTTCGATATTTTGCTTTAAATTTTTTAATTCATTTTTATTCAAATCCAAAGATTTAAACATATTAATGACATCGTCTTCGATTAGTTCCGATTTACTGGAATTTTTTGGTGGAATAACACCGACATTTTTAATACATTTTAATAATTCATCAACACACTCCGGTGTAAGGGTAAAATCCAAATTTGAAATTTCATTATTATCATCCAATTCAATTGCTTTGACGACTGTTTTCAGCATTTTTGATAAACAATCAGATAAAAACGACCATTGAACATTTGGTGTGAGATTAGGATTCAAATGCTCAGATATACTTTTCGTAACTGTATTGAATACCGAAATCAGAGATGTAATCCGTCGAATACATTCTTTAGGTGTTGGTGATACTTCATCTCCAGGAGAACTTCTACCAGACTCTGGTAAAGACAATTCTTCGTCATAACTCTCCATGTCTTCTAAAAATTGCCCCAGTAAGGTCAAAGTAAATTGTAAATCTGCTATCCAAAAATTTCGCAATCTCTGCAAACTATGACTAGCATAAGTTGCAATCGTTTTTTGCTGAGTTGAATCGATATGCCAGCCAACTAATATATCAACCGTATCACGAAAATGATTTGAAAATGTTTCAGGATAAGATTCCATGATCAGTAATATTGCATCCACAGTTGCTACCAATAAGTCTGATCGATCAACATTTTCAAGTGTTGATTGTAATTGTGACATCATTAGCTAAAAGAATAAGCAATATATTTTACTTTAAATAATTAGCGTATTTCAAATGAAATTTTGATTACAAAAAAAAAAAATTATAATTCTGCCACATATGATGTATATATCTACTAAATGAGAAAAGTAGAAAAAGGGAATTTAAGTACCACTGAAAATTCTTTTAATCTCGGTGCCTCTGTATCTAATTTAAAAGCTTCAACAAATGATTTGATTAAAAGGCACTTTATATCGTCTTTCCGTTCCAATGAATATTTATTGAAGACCCAATCCATGTATCTGTTAATTTACAAACCACAAAATTTTATTTACATTGTACAAGATATGAATATAGCATATACTACTATTTGTTTACCTCTTAAAATCTTGTTCAGATGCATATCCAACACGCCCTAAACATTTTGCAACTTGCTGTTTTGCTTCTAGTCCAGGACCAGTATGTAAAATATCCAACAAACCTTCACAAATGACATCTAAATTTCGTCTTATGTATCTTTGATTTTCAAGTGCTATTATACCTTCTTGTGCTTGTTTGCATAACACCATAAAATGATCATAATCATCTTCTCTACACAATCTTCTTAAAAGTTTAGAGATCCTAGAATCTTCTGTAATATAATAAATCAAATCATGTATTTAAATACAAAACAAATATTAAATTTAGTATATTCTAAAGATAAAAAGAGGTTCAAACCATTTATTCTTTTGTCGTCATAATATTTTCCTTGTACATTTTCTTGATTTTTCAGCGATTCTTGAAATTTGGATCTAGTTGTAGTATAGTAGCTAGTTTCTGTATTAGAGTCACGTTCAATAGGTGTCTTCTTAAAAGCTCTACCCCGTAAAGCACCTCTGGTACGATCTCCAGAACTACCCCCTCGAGCCATTCGAAATTCATTGCGTGGTATACCACCAATTCTATAATAATTTAAACAATTTATTGAGAATAAATGACAGATTACTTTAGTAAATAATCAGAAAAATAATTTACCTTGGTTTAAATCTGGAGAAGCTATGTTCAGAGGAATAGTTATTTGTACTTCTTTGACAAATGACCAAAGTACCTCTTGGAGCATTAAAATCATTTGAGTTATATCCACTTAAGACATTGACATCTCCTTTTTCCAGCACACTAGGTCGATTATTACTGATAGATTCTTCTTGTATCTCCGAACACTTAGATCCGCGTAGCCTGGTGCTAATATTAGAGTTCCCACAGCTATTCATTACATTACTCTGCAGATGATCTGCATGACCTATACTTTGCATTAATAATATACCAATCACAGGTAATAATAATTTCTTATATCAATAAACAATAAAAACCATAAAGTCACAAGTATTCTATAGATAAATAGAGTTCATCAGAATTCAGTAACTTTCACATATCCTTAAGGTTACATTATTCGTACCTACATCTTTGGTGTACAAAGTTCAATAGTCATAAAATAAATGAAAAGTAGTGATAAAAAAATAAGATAAATTATACAATATAATGAAAAATTTACTCTAAAGTTTATTAAATAAAAGCGACGTTCAAGTTATTTACGTTTAAAAGATACGATAATTTATAGAGTGATTAACTATCGCAATATCTACTTCAGTCTATATAAGCATCGTTCCTTTGGAAAATAATATTGGAATCACATGAAACACACAGTGATTTCTCATGGAAAATATTTTATATTATTAATCAGAAGGAAATATCAGAAGGTAAAATGGTATCGTAACTGATTCTCCACGCGTTCGATATATAAGTACACACCGTATCGACAACAACTAATCAACGGAGACGTTTTATAAGAATTTATAAATAAGTAAAAATTAAAATATACCAGGATCTTATTCGTGCATATGATATAGGCACCAACAATTTTTGGAATTTCCCAAAAATTGTACGTGAATCTGTTTAAATTAACTTATTTAGGTGGATACACAAGAACCAACCACGAAATTGAAATGGATTAAACACTATCTACGAGTGGTACCTTCCACACTGTCCGTTGACATGCTTTCTCTAAACATTAGATATCATTTTTGACATAATATTTTTGATTCTAAAATTTTGTTCTAATTTCATGAAACATCGTATAAAAAAGAGAAATGATATACAGATAAAATATGGAAAAAATGAGGAAAAGGAAATAAAAAAAGAATATTAAATCCACTACTAAATATTACATGGGTTCTAAACAATAACGAATTGCCTAACAAAGCAAGTAGACATTGCTCAAATAAATAAAAATTATTTAGGCAAAATGCAATTTTCTTATATCTACATATATAAATTAAGAATTTAATTATAGTTACGTATAATTACGTTACACTTCTACACTTACTGAAATGTAACTAAGTGCAATGAATCGACGAAACAACTAAATAAAATTTAAACCAATGCAAAATATCGGTGAAATAATATCTCGATCGATACCGATATCCAATTGGTCTAGATCAACCAATACCATCAAAATTATTCTAAAAAAATTATCAATATTGTTACTAATAAATAAATATATTGCATAATATTTATAGAAAATACATCTATAAATACAGATAATTATACATAATCACATTTCTCGATATATAATCGTAGAAGCCGCACCCCTTTTGTAATTTAAAACTATACGTTTATAACCATTTTCTTTATGTGTTTCACAGTAGTTAGTAGCTTTTGTTTCTACATCATTTCGTAATTGGAGATATTCTATTTCTATTATGCTCTTCTTTTTTGTAACTTATACTATTAGATAACTACTGTTATGTTTTTTCGTTTTATAACTTTGATTATTAGCTAGTGTTAAACAACAATATATCGACGATCTTAATTAATTTTCTCACTAAACTTAATTTACTTGAAAACAAGCCTTACAAAAATCATCTTTTATTGTTTTTAATACATATACTTCTTAAAATTTGAAATTATACTTTAATAATGTAAATAATAAACAAAATTGCTTAAAAAATGATTGTGTCATTACCATTGCATTAGAAACAATATGCATTTCATATAAAATAAGGTTATTTAATTCCTTATTTTCAATAATCTTAGTATACAATATCTAAAGTGTATAATGATTTATATAATATGTATTAAATTGTATAAGCTAGCACATAACATACAGTTGGCACATACATTTTTTTAAATCATAATTTTATTTTTACACATATTATAGATGGTTAAGTGCTGAAAGTAAAAATTCAATGATAGAGGACTTATTTGGAGAATGGAAAGTAGAAAATTAAGATGTGATAGATTCAACAACTTTTTGTTAACAAAAATAACAAAAATTAATTTTCTTACAGGGTAAACATATATTTAATTAAAAATTATAATGAATAAATTTATGGTTGTCTGTATTTAACATTCTTCGGCAGTTTTAGGATATTACTAAATTTTTCTATCAATAGTTTAATCCATTGATAGTATAACAGCACAATAGTAAACTGAGATAAATATTATAGTACAACTATAGTATATTTTAAATATAAATTTAATTAATGGCCATGATTATCATCTATATCATCCTCACTATCTTGAGTCTCCTTAGTATGAGGCCAAGTTGTAGGTTTATCACCTCCAAAACATCCTTCTGGATTTATTTCTGCATAATCCTCCATTGTCATTTCTGCAAATGGTATCATGTTTTTTATTTTATCCAAATCCTTTTGTGTTTTTTCAATGGCAGCATTTGTTTCCTGAATAAATGCCTCTATCTTTTTAGCCTGTAACATTTCCAACAACATTAATTAAAATATAAAATATAAAAGAAAAATAAATATAAATATTATTACCATTTCATTTTTGTCAACATCAATTTTGTCTGTATATGTATCTGCTGGATATGGTATCGATAATCCTTCATATTCTTTCTGAAATTTATCTACTAAACCAGGAGTCACAACAGTTTTCTTATAATATGACCAATCAATTTGTGGTAGTTCTGCTGGATTAGCCATCATACTATAAAATAAATTTTTCCTTGTACCATTTTATATCTATTTGGATATATTATTTTATATGAATGTAATATTTTATTTGTTTTGTTAAAAATCTTGTTCATTTTTAAACAATATATATATATTTATAGATATTTTTTAACATTTTTAAAATGAAATATTATTATAATGTATTCAATAAGAACCATAAACTAATTCTCAGAAGGTTATAACAGATTGCCTTGGCAAGTATTATACAAAAATTATATAAAAGAATTGGTAATTTCCTTAATATCCGTAAAATGAGAATAACTTATTTTTTTAATCATTTGATTATTTTGATATGAGAATTAATATGTTCGCGTGAAAATATTATATAACGTGTAGATCAAATAATGGGTTAATCTTATGAATTTTACCAACCGTTGTAAGTATTTATCAGATACAGATTTAAAAGTAGTGAAAGCAGCTCTTTCAGATTCTGAGATTCGTTCAGCCAAAGCGGTCCAATTTATTGCCTGAAGTGCTTTTCGTGACATTTTTTTATGTCAATTAATATAACACAATTCGAAACTCCCAAGAAACTATGGACTGCACACTTAACTCTTTTAGCGACACTATCGATTAGTCGAATCTCCACATGTGAAAACGAGGTATCGATCATAATGTACTCGATATAAATATTCGATTTAAAGGTTTTGACTAAATCGATATTTATTGTAAACTGAAGTATTTAAGTATTAAATAATTGCAAAGTACCATAATAAATAATTAAAAATGATTAAATTTGGTTAAATATGTACAAATAAATTATCTAAAAGCGTAAATATATACGATAAATATCGTTATTATTATGTAAAGGTAATATTTTGTCAAAGAAATTCTTAGTAATGCTCAAGAAACCAATAATAAGTATTTTAATAAATGAATTGAAAAATAATTTATAAAATACCCATATATACATAGTTATATATGTATTTCTTTGTTATATTAATATGAGTATTAAGACACAACACACCTGATGCTCATTTATGTTCAAATATATCGTTACATGTTATTTTTAAATCATTTAATTAATTGCAAACTTGAAAATCATAATTATAAAACATAATAAATATCAAGAATAAAAGGAAAAATTATTTATATATTATAAGGTGAGAAAAAGCAACTAATTAAAGAAAACAGGAAGAAAAAGACGGGAGCATGTATCATACATACAATACATACACGATAAGTAATATATAGCCAAACGTATATAAATTTGTTTACATTATCTTTATTTGTATTATATAAATTTAATATATAAATCTACACACATCGAATACAGGAATATACATCATTATATATACATATTTACATACGTGCATTTTTATATTGTATGTATACTACATAAGTCGCTCGTATATATAGACTATCAAGTCCATACGTTGTGATGAAGCGCAGACGACAGGATCGATAGAAGAGGAAGATCGTGGTCACGGGGTACATGGGATAAGGAAAAGGAAAGTAGAATACTGAAGGAATAGAGAGAGTGAAATAGATATTTGGTGAGTGTGAGTGGTTGCGAGATTGTAGGGTGTTGAGTGACTATAGTGGGCGGAGAGGGCGGAGTGGGCGGCAATGGTCAGGCGGTGAGCATAAAGAGGATAGGATAATATCGGTGCGCGACCTCCGCGGTAGCTTCAAGTTCGCCGCTTTAATACCGGCAGATCTACGATGTAGTTATGCCGAAGAAAAGTACTAGACATGTGAGAGAGTCGGGGTTAACGAGAAGTTCTCATGATAAAAGCAATAATCTTGGAACAACACCAGAATCGAAAACGAAACACTGTCTAAGCGTTCGTATTGGTCTTACCAACGGTAAACGTTGGCTTTCTCTTAAAAAACGCTTAGGTCTGTCAACCGATGAAGATGTTGCGGTTTATTTGCTGGATCTTGCCGAATCAGTTTCCAGGTAGGATTGCGATAGATGCTTGTGATAGATTAAATGCACCTCTTTCTTAGTTCATTTAGACTGACATTAATGTTCTATTCGTGCTATAAAAATCGTTCTAATCGATACTTGACCATACATATCACTCGAAAGCGGGACTTCCCCCCTATCGTGTCCAAATTTTCTGTCAAATCGCCATCTTGTAGGGTTGATGTTAGAGGGATGAAAATAATCGATAATTTTTTATTCGTTAAAAATATAGTTGTCAATTTTATCGATTTTACTGATTTTCATTGATTTTAATTTTCTTTGAGAACACGGATCGACCTGTACAGAAGAAATGTCTATTTTATTTAACTCCAAATACAAAATACGTTCAGGTAAATCAATTTCCATTTAATATTTATAAAAATGCTAGTAATGATTGACGTTGACCGTTTTCTACCTTAACCTAAATCCTTTTTATTTATCTTTAAAGATTAGTAATTTAAATTGTTGATTTAATATTTTCTTTGTATCTATATTTTACAGTGCTTAATCATTTTCAATCAACTGCATATTTTTGTTTGATAGACATAACACTAAGTGCAATGGAGAAGAAGAAAGGGAAATGGGTCAGGATAAAAAGAACAAAACAGAAACAATGCAGACTGAAGATTTGATAGAAGATAGAAGAGAATTTGTCCGTCGTAGTATAAGAAAACAAAATAGTGACACAGTTATAGAATCTGAAACACTTTCTGTTGATTCAACACAAAGTAAATTGTCTAATGATACTGAAGTACATATTAGACGGAGCTCAAGATCTAAACATCATAAAAATAAAGCTAAACATCATAAAGATAAACGTAAGAGGAAAAAACATTTTAAAATTGAAAATATTGTTTCATCACTTGAATCTGTTAAACGATCTTCTAGTGATGTAACATCAGGAGATGAGGAACAAATTTCCTTTAAAAAGGATAACTCTAAATTAGCTAGTGGGGTAGATGTCAAAATGAATTTAAAGAATAATCTTCGTATTACTGCGAAGACAGTTGAATCTGTTATGACAAAGACTGAAGATATAGATAGCATAGAATATATAGAAAATGTAAATATTAATAAAAATGTACTTTATCATGATATTGAAGATGTTGATATGGAAAGAATTATGATGGTTAGTAATAAGAATGAACAATCGAGGTCTAATAGTTTAGCTTCATCATCATCTGCTAAAAGTATTAATGAAAGTGTGGTAGAACAAATCTCAAATGTAATAGATTCAACATCTAATATAGCTTCTCATATTCAATCTAATGACACAAAAGATGATAAAAATAATCTAAGTGGCTATGTTAATGCAAATTCTGACTGTCCAAACATTAACATAAATGCAGATCAAGAAGTAGAAGATCGAAAATTGAAAAGAAAACGAAAGCGGTTGAAATATGATGTTGAAGAAGATGATGATGATGAAAATGTAAAAGAGGATTCATCAGAGGATGTGATGGATGATTCTATACACAAACATAGAAAAAGAAAACACAAACATACTAATGAACATAAAAATCGTAAACACCACGATGTACGAAAAGCACCGCAAGATGGAATAATTGTGCAAGAAGATAAAAATACTTGTTCTACAATAGATGACGCGAATTTAGTTACAATGGAAAAGCTTCAAAATGAAACATTGAAACAAAATAATGTTGAAAACTTAATGTCTGAGCCCCAGAGATTAGCTATTAAAATAAAGCTTTGCCAGGAATGCAATAATCGTCATTTGCAGGATGCTTGTCCATTAATAACACCGCAATATGCTATTTCAGATTCTGTATCATATGAAGGTTGGTTAAATAAATTCAAAGAAAATACTGAAATTTTAAAAGCCATAAAATCAGATGACCCTATGTCTGAAGGATATGGAAAAGTAGCAGAAGATAATAATGAATCAGATGACGAATCGTTATTGTCTGAACAGTGTAAAATAAAGACGAAATTTCAGAAAGAAGAAAAACAATTAACTGTAGACTTGGATCGACCATTATATGCTAGGGATTCTTTACCTGAATGTTTTGAATTAAAAATCACTAATTCAGAACATGGACTTGGAATATATGCAAAAAGTTCTGTTCCAATACATGTTAAATTAGGTCCTCTTGTTGGACAACCAGTTAGAGAAATGGACATTCCTGATGATTTTCCCATGAGACACATTTGGGAGGTAAAATCAATGCAATATTTATTATCTTTGTATGTATAAATTACATTTATTTTTATTATTATAAGTATTGTTTCGCAAGAGTTTTTATGATAAAATGATATTCTTTTTTTTTTTTTTTTAGATAGATAATGATGGTAAAACTTCGTATATAAGTACTACTAATCCTCTGAAAAGTAATTGGATCCGTTATATTAGACCTGCTGAAACAAAAGAGGAAAGAAGTGTAGCTGTAATAACAAAACAAGGAGAACTACATCTTGTGACTACACAGAATATTGTATCAGGAATGGAATTGACTTATTGGGCAGACTCTCAATCTTCTGCATGGACACGAAAAAATAAAGTAGACAAAACGAGTATAGTATCATTTTTTTAAGTTATAGTTTAAATAAAAATCAATATCATTAATGCCTGATTTATTTTGATTCTATCTAGATTGTGGAGGTTGTAATTTAAATTTTGCCCATCCAATATATTATCGGTTACATTGCTGCATCTTCCATGACACTAACTATAGTTTAACTATAAGAAAATATCATTGTAAAGTAGGTAACACTTATTAAATTGCACTTTATGCCAGCTTTATTATATGGCATGTTACTGAATGAATAAATATATGCATTTACTTCCTATTTTTAGGTATGTGGGGCTGCTGTTTTAGGTAAGGACAATATTATGAAACATGCAGCAGAATTACACGCAGGTCGAGGTGCATATCAATGTCAATATTGCAAAAAATTCTTTCTACGTTTAAATTACCTCGAGATGCATCGTACCTATGGATGTGCACAAAATCCACAACGTTCAAGACCACTATGCGATTTCTGTGGACGTAAATTTTGTCAGCCACAAAAATTAAAAGTGCATATCAAACGAATGCATAGTGGTAAGTATTTGTGCCTTATAACATATAAATCCGTCATTTGAGTTTGTTTCCAATGTAAATGAATGTTTAGATATGTCTGAAGTGCTCCGGGAGTTTCAGTGTAAGCTATGTTTGAAACTTCTGGGCTCTCGTGCGGCTCTTCAGCGTCATATGAAAGAAGTACATCATAAAGATGTAGTCGGTGCCGCAACTTGTGATCGATGTGGAAAAATGTTTCAAAACAAAAGTAATCTTAAAATACATATGTTAACACATAGTGGAGTGAAACCATTTAAGTAAGATCATAATATTCCGGTATATAATTTATTTTGGATGTTCTTAGTAAATATGATAATAAACGTTTCTTTTTTTCATATTTCAGATGTAAAGAAAATAGTTGCAAAGCAGCTTTTACAACTAAACAATGTTTACAATTTCATTACAAGAAAGTACATGGTTTGACAGAAGAAATGATGCCAAAAATCGAGCGATCTGTCGCCTACACTTTTGATGCATATAGTGGCGGACTTGTTGAAGATGTTGGTCGCGGGAAGACCCCTCGGCCTAGTAAAAAGACCTCTCAGGTTTGTCTATTAAAATTCATCTTATTTTACATATATTAGAAAGTAAAATTGTTTGGAATCACAGTGTTCTTCCTATAATTTGTAATTTTAGCAAGAAAATAATGATAATGAAATAACTGTGGATGATGATAGCTCAAAAAATGATTTGAAGATTGAGACACAAGGCATTTCTACACATTCGACTATAATAGAGTTTGGAACAAGTCCCACATCCAAATATAAAATGGAGCATAATCCACGAATTACATCCTCGCTTTCAATGGGAGTATCAACATCAAACAACCTTGAACCGACAGTAGAAAGCGTTCGAACAGAAGCAGATATATATGGTACTTCTAGATTACAAAGTAAAGGAAGTAAAAAATGGCTTGGTGAATTCAATGCTCCACTTACTTCAGATGTAACTGTAGTATCTAATACGATTCCTCATTTATCAACAAATGTTGTTACCGGAAATACTTATGAATTTGAAGATACTAGAAAGGAAATTGACGAAAAAGTATCATCATCAACAAACAATACGAGAACACAAGACATTATGGAAAGTAATAAATTGGGACTTAGTGTGTATAGAAGAACCGAAAGTGCAAATGCTAGCTTATTAGTTGAAGCTGCTCTTGATGCTGCTGAGAGGGATATAGGAGCAGTAACTAGTCCAATATTAGAGGATAATGATCGCGATACAAATCTCTATTCAATATCCAGTCAGCTACAATCCCCATTACCTCAAAGATCACCAAACCATTTAGATTCTTACATACAGCAACAAGAAGAATTAATATCTCCTGCACCTACACCAGATAGTCGGAACACACCACCCACGCATTTACATGTTGATTATCAGCTACATCGACCCGTTGATTACATTGGTACACCAAGAGCACATAATATCGATCAGTATTTACATCATGAAGAGATACCGCGTGTTTCTTCGCCAAACAATTACATACACATGCAACAAGAAGATTTGGTATCACCTTCAGCAACACCAAATTCCCGATATCAAGATGTACATCATCATCATCATCACCATCATCATCATCATCATCATCAGGTATCCGCGGATAATTTATCTAGTGATGAAGGTGATTCAGTTGCACAAAATCTCAGTCTTTCTGTGAAAGAAAAAACAATGCAGTTAGATCTCTCAACGCCGTATAAATATGATTCTCTCGAGCAAGAGTTCGCTAGAGATAGAACTAGTTTCGAACCTCTTGTTCTTAATGGAGAACTTCAGGGTTTAGACATGTCTGCCAGAGGATTTCATCATAGTTTTGGTGTGCAGATACAAAATCCACGATATCATCATCATCATTTGTACGAAATTCCAGAAAGACAAAGTGTTGACCTTAGTAGGACCGGAAGTTATTCGATATCACCCACCCCTCTTTCAGTAGCTTCTCAGGTATCGTCTGGTTCTTCGGTGACAGTAGCTACTCAACCGCCACCACCTCCACCACTGCCTCCCCC